AATTTTAAAAATGTATAATTGATATTGTGTATTAGGAAGTAAAGGTCTAAAGGAGCAAGGGAAGTGGGAAGGGTAGGGGAAAGGAAAGAAGGGAAAAGAAAAAGTATGAGAAAAGAAAAAAAATGGAAACAAAATCTTTGCAAATAGGGAAAGGCGGAGGGGGTGAAGGGAGGGCAGGGGAAAGGGAAAAAAAATAAGAACCAGGATATTCATGTAATGGTACAAGATCCAAATGATGTATGTAAATGTATTTTATGCCAAAAATGTACCAATAAACTTAATGGGGGGGGAAGAAAGATAAAACATCAGCTAATTCAGTAATTTAAATGCCATTTCCCCCCTCTGCCCTTTTATTCATATTAAATCACATGCCAGCACCTGGTACACAAGGAAAACATAAAAAATACTATTGTTTAAAAAAAAAAGTTTTTTGTTCTCATTTCTGTGGTGTGGAGTTACCTTGGGGTAGCAAATAAGGGACAAGCATCTTTATTTGTAGTGAGCTCTCCTCCTCTATCAGTGGCTCCCGAGAGCCTTACTCTCCCCTCCCTTTGCACGTGAGGACATCCAGACCCTGGGACAGAGCTGGGGTTCAGGATAGCATGTTGTGAGCCAGGAGCCCAGTTTGGATCAGAAAGTATCAGTTCAAGATCTGACTTTCCTACGTAAACTATGTGGCTGTAGGCACATTGTTTAACTGTTCAGTTTCATTGTCCTTATTTACTTTATAGTAAGTCCTTGACTTACGGACATTCAAGTTGTGAACTTTCACAGGTGTTGCATATGAGACTCATTTTGTCAGCTTATGAATGAATCAGACTTAAAATTTTCTCAGAACAGAACTTGTTTGTAAGTTGGGACTTTTGTTTTTAATTGCAAAAGTAACATCTCTGTACTAAAAAGGCAAACTACCTTTGATCTATAGGGCAAAAGAAATATTTGAAATTATTAAGTTTAATTTGTGTGTGTATATGTGCATTTTAACAGAATTGTGGTTCAGTTAATATAGAGAAAATCCTGAATAGAATTTGTTACTTGAATCACATTGTGAAAGAATTCTTTATTCTCTTTTTAGTGATTGTATCGTCTAAAGATAGTGACATTATTGGCTTCAGGCTATTTGCCAAGTTGAATGCTTTCTGTGTCACTGTTTGCAATGAGAAGAACAATATTGCTGAAATCAAAATACAAGGTAAAGCACTTGGGGAGACTGAGCCAGAAGGATCGAGAGTTCAAGCCCAGCCTGGCCAACTTAGTGACTTAGCCAAGACCTCATCTGAAAAAACCAAAAAGTTAAAAAGACTGGGGATATAGCTCATTGGGAGGCACTGGGTTCAATCCCCACTGCAATCAAACAAAACAATAAAAAATGAGGCAAAAAATACAGTATTAAAATTTGTTAAAAGATAAGCTTTTTCTTTTTCTCCTTTATTTCATTCATGCAGTATTAAAGAACATACAAAAAAGAGGGCTCTGAGTAGTGAAAGCTGGTGGGGTGCAGTTGAGTTGGATGGTTTCTTCTTGGGTTATACCCCTTGGAGAATCTGACCACTACACAGGCTGGTGCCGAGGACCGTGCTCAGGGTTATCTGGGGTAGAGGAAACGTCAGTGTAGAAACACTCACAGGCCGGGAGGTGTCAGTCAAGAGTTCATGTGAAGGTCTGTGAATGTGCTTGTCCATTACTAGCCTTTGTTTTTGTTATGTTTATCTATTTGTATATAGTTATTTAATGATACATTATCATTGCTTTCTTCATTTATACTTTCTGCAAAGCAACTCTTTAATGAAGAAGAAAACCTGTGAGCCCATTAGGTTCTTTTAGGAAAAAGCTGCTAAAATGCATCTTGCTTTTTCTCTGGGCTTAATCTTTATCAATTTGTTGTAATCTGTTGAGGATAAAGATATGTTTAGTATGTCTTATGAAATTCTTTAAAAACTTAAAAACCAGAAAGGTAGGAATTTTTTTGGTCCTTTTTAATCTGATAGTACATCTACTAGACTGAATTGGATTTGTGACACTTTTGTAGTCTCCATGTAAATAACTGGTAGAAAGTCTAAAGGGTCTGCTCTACTAAATCCTGAGAGGATCTGTTTGTACTTTTGTGAGAGGGTTGAAAATTCAGGTAATTAATGTTTATGAACTTATAAATTGGGTGTTTATAAAATTATAAAATATCTAATATTGTAGTTTATCAGTTGGGAGTTCAGGTGTTGCTAAATTAAAAAAAATAACATCATACAATGGAAATGTTATTCATTGTAGATCTAGAGAAATTATATTAATATATTTTATTTTTAGGCCTCGATTCTTCCCTTTCTCTTCAGTCAAGGAAGCAGTCACTTTTTGCCAGATTGGAAAATATCATTGTCACAGATGTTGATCCTAAGACAGTTCATAAAAAAGTAAGTTGTACTAAATAATATTTTTTTGTGATTGCATATGAGATTCTGTTTTTAAGTACTATATTTGAAAATTAAATGATAGTTCATTAAAATGTTTTTATAAAAACTATAAATAGAAACCCTTTTCTAAGTGGGATTTTATTTTGCCATTATGTTGGTGGAAATAATATGTTCATGTCTATTTTCCAGGCTGTGTCAATAATGGGAAATGAAGTTTTTCGTTTTAACTTGGATTTGTACCCAGATGCTACTGAAGGGGATTCGTATGCTGACATGTCCAAAGTGGATGGTGTGGTATCATTGAATGTTGGCTGTATTCAGATTGTCTATCTTCATAAATTCCTTATGTCACTTCTGGTAAAGTTACTTTCTATATATTAATTTTTCAACTTAGGTAACAAGTCTGGTAATTATGATTGCAGATGTTATAAATTTACGTAGTAGGTGGATATTATTTTGATTACACATGGTATTTATGTAGAAGTTAGAAGTAAATTTCTTTAACAGTTAAAATCTAATTTAATAATTATTTGTAGGTCTGAAGTTATTTTTGTTAGAGTAAATACTGAAGCCATGTTCTTGAAAACAAAAAACATTGAAAATGACTTTTCTTCCCTTCTTTTCCTTAGCCCTATAAGTTTGGCCTTAGCCAGGCAGCTTATAACTATGGATGAATTAACAGTGATTCCTATCTAACACTACAAAAATAGGGCTTAACTGAAAATTATCTATTGTAAAAAACGTCAACATCTTTATAGACAGAAGATGGTGTTAACTATTGATGTGCCTGCTTTCTGATTAAATTTCTCCTTTTTCACCTTGTGTCCACAGAATTTCCTGAACAATTTCCAGACAGCCAAAGAGGCTCTAAGCACTGCCACTGCCCAGGCTGCAGAAAAGGCTGCCACAAGTGTGAAAGATCTTGCCCAGAGGAGTTTTCGCTTTTCTGTCAACATTGATTTGAAAGCCCCTGTTATTGTCATCCCACAGTCTTCTGTTTCCACCAATGCTGTCGTGGTGGACCTTGGTTTAATCAGAGTTCAAAATCATTTCAGTCTTGTGTCTGGTGAAGACTCTGTAAATCCTCCTGTGATTGATAGAATGGATGTGCAGCTCACAAAACTGAAGCTTTCTAGGTGTGTTCTTTCAGTGGTTACAAATATCAGTATTACATTAATTTTTTTCTACGACATTTTATGACCATTCCCAGTTTATACTCAGCATGTTTCTATTTCACAGAACCATTTGTTTTTTCCATCAGCTTTTTATTTTGAAAAATTTCAAACCTATGGAAAAATGGCAGCAAAATAATGAGCATATACATACATGTTTCATCCAGATTCATCAATCTGTTACACATTGGCTGTAATTTATTTACATCATTATTATTTAAAACATTTTTTACTGAACCACTTGAGAGTAGACATCTTGACCCTTTGCTCCTAAGTATTTTAGCAGATGTGTCCTAAAAACAGGGAAACTCATTCTCTTATGTTAACTACAATATATTTGCCAAATTTTGGAAATTTAATATCAGTATAATATTACCTAATGTGCAGGCAGCATTAAGGCTGTACAAGTTGTTGGAATGATGTTGCCTGTAGTAATTTCCCCTCCCCATCCTGGATCAAACAAGACATTTAACTGTATCCTCTGTTACTGAGGGGGACTTCTGTCCTGATAGACACTTATTCTAGAATCGTTCTTCTGGCTTTCTCTGTCTCTTATGATGACGGTGGTTTTGAGAGGGACAGCCTGGCTGTTTCATGAAATAACTCTCAGTTTTGTTTGAGTGATTCCTCATGGGTTTTGAATGATTGTAAGCATTTTTCATCTGAATGCCATGTAGGTTATATCTTAGCCTCAGTGCTCACACTGTGTGACACATGAAGACACAAAAAGATTTGAAACCCATGTTCTGTTCTATCAAAGGAGATTTAATTACCCATGTTAGAAAATTAATGCTTTATGAGACAAGCCCAGGAAATAATCCTGGAGAATAGCTCTCTAAGACATGTTATTTGCTGATGTTCCCATTCCCATTGTTTTCTTTGGTCTCTGTACCAATAAACACACAGTCATACATCACTTAACAGTAGGGATGCCTTCTGAGAAATGCATTGTTGGCAGTTTCATCACCGTGGAACATCACAGTACATCCTTGCATAAACCTAGCTGGCTTAGGTCAGTCATTTAATGTGGTCTCTTCTTGTAATCAGGCTCGCAGTCAGCAAGAGATAATGAGACTGTTGTTGGTATAACTTGACAAACTTTTAGTTAAAATTTTTTTGTAAGTAGAAGGAGTGCATTCTAAAGCAATGAAGGTATAACAAATACATAAACCAGTAACAGTAATTTATGATCAATAATTATGTAATTTTACATGCTCTAATTTTGTATGATTGGCTATGCAGTAGGATTGCTCACGTCAGCATCAGTCCAAGCCCTCACCTCATGGCTTATACTACCACTTAGGATAACTGTGGTGTCTCTAAGCAACAGTAATTTTTCCGCTCCATCTTGTGGAAACGTTGCAGTGCTTATGGTCTATTATAGTTATATCCTTGAATAACTGTATTTGGTGATTTTAACTACTCGTCCTTGAGTAACATTTGATTTCTTGCACATCTTCAAGAGAGTGAATTTCTTTTTAAAATGTGTTCAATTTTTCATCTGCTGTTTAAAGAAAAAAGTTTTCTTAATAGTTTACTGTTTGTGACATTTTAATCTGTCCCTGCTAGTGGGTTACAGATTAAATATAATTCAGTTTGGGAAAGATTCAAGGAGCATTGCTTCACATCAGTATTTTAGAGGGACAAGGGACTGCTTGACTTTGCTGTTTTAAAAATATGTTGTGTTTCACTCTATACATGTCCATTGCTGTTGTTTCTGTTTCCATTAGGACAGTGATCCAGCCAGGCACCTCCCATCCTGATATTCAGCTGTTGCACCCAATTAACTTGGAGTTTTTTGTGAATCGGAATCTAGCTGCAAATTGGTACCATAAGGTGCCTGTTGTGGAAATTAAAGGACATCTTGACACAATGAATGTAAGTGTGTGAGTGGAAAACAAAACCTTTGTTATTGAAGTTTTAGATTCTAAGGACTTCTTAGTATAAATCCAACTGAAATATAGATTATTTTAGTGAATGATGTAAAAAAAAATTTCAGTAAGATGTAGTTCAATCGTTATTATCCATTTTGGTAAAATTTTGTCTTCAGATAAATATTATTTAACTTTTTAAGTTTTCTTTGCATACGCACAGACTAAGATCTGCAAACTGTTATAGTCCCTCGTGTGCTGTGTATTATAATGCATTTAACTTTTAGGGTTACCTAAGTAGCACTGGTAAGGTGATTGGAGCATTGGGAGAGGTGCCTGTTCATAATTGAAGACAGCCATTCTGTTTCCCTGGAATTACTGTTTAAAAGAAATAAAATGGGTGCACTTGCAGACTATGTCACTTTCAAAAAATTATCAGTTCTTTAATTATAATTACCTTTCAGTAAAGATAATGTAAATTAAGTTGGTGAAGTGAATGTTGACTTATATTATTTTCCTTTATCATCTTTGAAAATAAAATATTAACATGAAATAAGTAATGAAACACTTGTGTGGATAGTGATTATGTAGCTTTTTAGTAAGTAGGGTTATTTTGCCTTTTGTGTTTTGTTTCCGACAGTTTTCTATGTTGAATTTGTTTCCTTTTAAACTGAAATATATTGACCTTTTAAAATATGATATTTCACAGGTCAGTCTAAATCAAGAAGATCTGAATGTTTTGTTTAGAATACTAGCAGAAAATCTTGGGGAAGTTCCTGAAGACTTAGATAAGGCGAAACCAAGACTACCAGAGTTAGGTAAGAGGCTGACAGTAGGTGGCTAACACTTGTGTTTCCTCAGTTTACAGTTTGGTAGACAGCAAAAAGACACTGTTAGTTAGTTTGTTTGGTGGTTCTGGGAAGTTAACTCAGAGTCTTGCTTATTAAGGCACACACTAACACTGCGCTTTACCTCGCCTTGCTGGCTGTCTCTCTGTCTCTCTGTCTGTTTTTACTGAGGATTGAATTCAGGGCCTTTACCCTGAGCTGTACATCCCCACCCATTTTCATATTTTATTTTATTGTTTTGAGACATGGTCTCTCTGAGTACTAAATTTCCCAGGCTGGACTTGAACTTGTCTTTCTCCTGCCTCAGCCTCCCAGAGTGGCAGGATTATAGGTGTGTGCCACTTCACCAAGTCTTTTGTTTGTGTACTAAACTAGGAGTTTTCTGAGTGCCAGAGGTATACTAATTTGTGGATTTTTAGTACCTTCCTAGGTCCAGAGCACTCATTTACATCCTTGTAAGTATTTGTGAAAGAAATGTGTGAATAGAAGTGAATGAATTTCTTTTAAACATTTGTAGGTGAAGTCAAAGAGCCCCATGAAATCTCTGTATCACAGAATTTACAAGCTTCACAAGATACTTCAACAGCTGGACGAGAAGAGATTACATCTGTAGACATCATTAATGTACTGCTGAATTTTGAAATTAAAGAGGTAGGTAATTTTCATGTTTTTGTGAGGAAAATATATTTAGAATTATCTTTATTAAAATAAGCTCATAGGTAATTAATATGGATAAAAAAGTCTTACAGAGGCTGTTTACATATAATGGTGTTTAAAATTTGAGAGTTTAAGGATGAGTTAAGTTTGGGGGATACAGTATTTCATAGAGAAAGCTGTAGCATTTCCTATAACTTCCTTTTAACGATTATGAGACAGCTGGAATGTGCCTGGATTTGCATTTTTATTGTCTAAGAATAGCAGGAAAGGGAATTAGAGATTGCAAAGTCCTTTGCAAATGTTAGACATTCTGAAGAGAATAAAACACATTATGTCTACATTAAAAATGTTATATAGCCGGGGATTTGGCTCAGTGGTTCCGCCGCCTGCCTCGCAAGTGCAAGGTCCCGTGTTCGATGCCTGGTACCAAAACAAATAAATAAATAAAATTAAATTTTGGGCTGGGGATTTAGCTCAGTCATTCTGCTGCCTGCCTCACAAGTGCAAGGTCCCAAGTTCGATCCCCGGTACCAAAAAAAATGTTATATAGAATGGTACTAAGTGAATGAATGTACTTTCCATTTACAGGTTGTTGAGGAAGATTAGGTGGATTTTCCTCTCCTTTATTCACACATTCAACACATATTCATTGTATAGACTCTGAACTCAGAACTATTGTTGCCCATTAAAAATGTGTTCAGGGTAGGGTTCTATTGGAGCTTGTTGTGTTGGTGGTAGGGAGGGTGCATCTGAGCAGGCTGAGGGAGCCAGAAAGACTTCCTGGAGGAAGTGTTAATTTGAGTTGAGTTTTTAAAAGAGCAATAAGAAATAGTCTGAGAAAAAGAAGTCAAGAAAGGGGTGACATAGAACAGAATGGGTGTGAAGTTGTAACTGAGAAAGCATAAGTGGTTACAGGGATCTGTAAGAACCGTCCTCCAAAATCTCTTCATTGTTATGTAGTTGTCTAAAGGTTGTGCTCTGTCTCTGAGCTATAAATGAATGATTGGGCTCTGTTTTTGCTTTGAAACTAGATCCTTGATTGTTAAACCTCCCATATTTTTTCTGCATAATATTAAAGTTACTGAAGGTTTTTAAGCTTGATAATTGAAACATCAACAGATAAATTATTCTTTCGGCAAGTATAAAATTAGCATGCATGGAAAACTTGTAAGTCCTTTAAGTCCTTTTTTTTTTTGGTGCCGGAGATCAAACTCGGGACCTTGCGCTTGTGAGGCAGGCACCGGAACCACTGAGCTAAATCCCTGGCCCAGTCCTCTTAATATCATTTGTAATAGATATTATGATAGTTCCCTTCCCTTAAGACAGTGGTTGTTATGGAGAAAACCATTAGAAAACAGTGGTGATGCATTAGCCTGAACAAATGGACAGATGTCTTCTCCGGTAAACGATGCAATCTCCAGTCAACAGAAGTAGACATTTTTACATCATATGAATCTCTTAGTTGCATCACTCTCATCATTAAATTCTTGTGTATTAGTGAAATAGTTGGTGGTAATACCAGTCTATTCTTGTAGGTTGTGGTTACATTGATGAAAAAAGCAGAAAAGAATGGAAGGCCGGTGCATGAACTAAATGTCCTGCAGCTTGGAGTGGAAGCCAGAGTTAAAGCCTATGACATGACTGCTGAAGCCTATCTAAAACAAATTAGCATGCAATGCTTTGATTTCACTGGTCAGTGAATTATTCATGAGGCAGATGGTCTTTTTGATCACCACTAAACATTTGAGTCACCATCATTACTTAGATTAATGTATTCTGTTGATAAAAGAATTTGATGTTTTAAAAGTGTACTATCTTGCATAGTTATTTTAAACTAAAAATGTACATTAAGTATGTACTCATGTAATATAAAATAGAACATTTCTGAAAAAAGAGCCATTTGTCTTCATTGTATATAACACTTCAGTACTTATAAAAGGGACTATATTACTATGCCATGAGAACTGATATATCAGGAAATTGGACCCAAACATACACAGGGACTCATTTGGAAAAATTGAGTTAGTTTATTTATTTGTATTCATTTTAAAATCACATGGATTTTAAAATTTGTTCTCAGTTACATCACTATGTGCTTATTAAAATGAAAATTCAGCAATACCAAAATTTATAGAAGGAAAAAATTGACATCATCTAGAAATCTCACTCTTTTCCCCTCAAGTAAATACTAAATTATAATTTAATAAGTTTCTTGGATCTTCTGAATGTATTTATTTTTAAATTTTAGTTTCTTAGTATGTGTGTATAGTGCATGATGTTTACATTCCTTCTGTGGAGTTGGCCCATGTACATAACATAGTTTAACTCCTTTTTTATTCCCTTTCCTTCCCTCCCTTTCCCTCTACCCATCTCTATATCCCCTTCTCCTTCCGATTACCCATCTTTATTTTGCTCTTTATTTTTACTCTTGGTTTCTCAGGTAAGAGAAACAATGTGATATGAGCCATTTAAAGTTTATAAGAACTCTGTGGAATAGCGTTAAGAAAACAAGTTGGTATTGAAAATAATCCCTAATTTTATGTATTTTATAGCTTTGTTTCTATAGTCTGTCATCTGTGATTTGTTCAGATGAGTGTAATACCGGTGTTACCAAATGTTAAAACAGTTGTAATTGGTCCTGGGTTTTGTTGTTATTTTTATGGAGCTTCTTTCTCTCTCTCTCTCTCTCTTTTTTTCCCCCCCAAAGCCAGGCATATTGAGACGTGATTTATATACAGTGTAATCAATTCATATTTTAATGTAAAATTGTAGGAGTTTTGATAAACATACATTTGTGTAACTGGCTATTCCTGTTAAATGAGATGTTTGACATGTTAAAAAGTGCTGAATCAGCCTGGTCTCTTTCTCGTAGACTCGAAAGGAGGCCCACTGCATATTGTGAGCTCCTCTCACGTGACTGATGAGCCACTCCTGAAAATGGCCTGGACCAAGGTACCTACTTTCATCTTTTTTTTTTTGATACCGGAGATCGACCTTGGGACCTTCCGCTTGAGAGGCAAGCGGTGGCACCACTGAGCTAAATCCCTGGCCCCGCTACTTTCATCTTAATGTGTGAATATATGAAGTTACATCTGCTCCCTACATAGTTAATATTCCAATTTTCTCCTCTAAAATTTTTCTTTATAATTTGGTTGATTGTGATGAAGTGTGAAACCATGTGACAGTCCTGGATACTCTCATTAACCTGGTTTCCCTAAGGGGTTGGATAAGTGGGAATAATAAAAAGTCCTGCTGTGTTCTGAAGCAAAGTACATTATCATCTAGATACACAAACATTTCCCTGCCTTTTGGATTTGTCCATTTAAGCTAGATACACTAGCATTTCCTCCAGAATAGTTTTTTGCATTTGTGAAATGTCAGACATGCTTGTGTGGTCAGTTTCTTTTTATCATGTTCTTCTTTACCTATAAGAAATATGTTTTGTAGTGTTTTGGGTTTTTTTTTGGTACCAGGGATCGAACTTGGGTCCTTGTGCTTGTGCAGCAGGCGGCGAAACCACTCAGCTAAATCCACAACCCTTTGTAGTATTTTAATAGCTTTCAGAAGTAAAACAAAATATGTATTCTGTGCATGAAATTCTAGTATTAGTAATCCATTGGTTTGATTTTCCATTATTTATAGGCAGACAGCAATGGACCAGAATTTAGAACTGTTCATGACAATACCAAACAGAGACTAAAGGTAAGTCTTTTATAATTCACTATAAGGGTGAGTTGTTAATGATTAAATGTAGCTTCATAGCAATTTTCAGTTGTAAGATTGTTCTAAAATTAGAGTAATGTGACATTAATAATAGATTTAATTTTGTAGATAAATTTAATATTTCTTTGTAGATTTAATTTTGTAGTAATTTTGTAAATTACTTGTGACTTGTTGAATAACAGATAATATATTTTTAAGGGAATTTTGTTCATTTTGGTCCACCATGGTTATTTGGTCTGATATTGATTAAAACCTTAAATATTTGCCTTGTGCATTGGCTTTAGGATTAAGGACATTACTCATATTCCCTTTGAGAAAGTATAGTCAGTGTTGGAATGCTTCCTGTATCTTTACTTAAAACTCAAATCTTGTTGAAATTAGAATTATTTGCACACAGAAGTGGACAGAGTATTGATTTATTGCCCGATTACGGTTAACTTTGTAATAGTATTTCTAAGGATTAACACTAATAGTAATTCTTCATATTTTTGTTTGTTTTTTTTGGGTTTTTTTGGTACTGGGAAATCGAACTTGGGACCTTGTGCTTGCGAGGCTGGCACCGGAACCACTGAGCTAAAATCCCCGGCCCAATTCTTCATATTTTTAATTGCTCTTAATTAAACTCTTCTTGTGCTAGTTGTATATGTTGAAACTTAACATAAACATTTTACCGTATCTGACTCTGCTTCTCTAATTGTTTGTTACTTTAGGTTTCATTTTCATCCTTAGACTTAGTGCTTCATTTGGAAGCTTTACTTTCCCTTATGGATTTGTTGTCATCTGCTGTTCCATCTTCTGAGTCGTCTTCTTCTCAAAAGGAATCTGAGCTAAAACCACTTATGGGAGAGTCCAGAAGTACTGCCGTCAAAGCTGGTATTAGTGTTTGAGTAATGGTCTAATGCTTTCTCTCGTAGAATAGCTTAATGTTTTTAAAATAAATTTTATTTTATTTTATTTCATTCCCCCTTCAAACTCCCTCCCCTCCCTGTGTACAAAAGCTTTGTTAAAGGGCTGGGGATTTCACCTTCCTCGCAAGTGTGAGGTCCTGAGTTTGATCCCTGGTACCAAAAAAACCCCAAAAAACAAAAAGCTTTGTTAATGTGTTTTAAGCTAAGAAAATATTTATTGTCGTCTTGTTACACCTGATCCGACAATTTAAGTTAGTTTCAAAAGAATGTAAGGTAAGTTTATAGAAGGATTTTAAATAGATGTTGCTTGATCATGTATTTTTTATTTTACTGCTTAGTCTCTACTTTGCATTGACATCTTTGCAGTCTTCAGTTCAATAAATGTGAGAAACTAAGAAGCTAAAATACAGATGGAATCATGCATAGTGACAAAATCCTATGGTACTCAGTCTGGTCTAGTGCTGGATAGAGTCAATGCTTTGTGGACCCTAAAGGAATCTCATGGAAGAGATAGACTCACTTTGGTTTCTAAACAGTATTTCTGTCACACATGGATCTGGGGATATGTTCCTTAGGCAGATGCTTGAGCTATGAAATGTTAGTTATGAAGTTATCTGTAGTGAATAAAGAATATGTACTTGTTTTTAGATCAGACATTTCATTTTTTCACATTATATAATGTAGACATCTAACATATAATAATTTAGTTTTTAGACCATTACCAATTTGAGTATATTAATTGCATCTTTAGTTTAAAACTGTCCACTATTACATCTAATAAAAGAATCTGATTTTTTTAAACCATGGAACATAGCAATGTGTTCTAAACTAGAATAAAAGAGTTTTAGAGGTAATGTCCTTGGAATTCTTCTGATATCCAACATATAATACATACAAAAATAGTTGAATAAATCAAAAAATAAATATTTAAAATTGCAATACAGGCAGTATTCATTCAAAGAAACAGTTTTGTGGCTTTGCCGTATGATTGGTCTTCATGGTTGGATGATGCTATATTTTGTATTGAGGGAAAAAAATGTCATCATAGTGGGGATTAATGATTAATACATATCCTTACGCTTTTGTAGTTTTATAGGAAGGATTTAAAAAAAACCTAATTCTTATAGTCATATTTTATTGAATTTATTTGAGAATTCTTTATGGAGCCATAGCATATACTCTAATAAAACTGGATTGTTTCCATAGTTAAAATAACATGTATTGTAAGTGTCATAGTAAATAATATGAATTGCGTTAACTAGTCATCATATTTTAGTTCTATATTAGTTATTGCTTTAATATAGTATATGACAGATTTTAAAATCAAGATTTTGGGCTAATAGAATTCTAAAATTCTAATTTATAGGGTTTTCTTGTATTTTTTCCAGAAGGAAACACCATCAGGGTGTTATTAATAGTTTATTTAATCTTAATTTGAAGGGCAACTGCTATTTTTTTGTCTGGTTGGCATTTGAAAATTGATTCAAAATCCACATTAGTTTTCTTTTTCGTTTTTTTTTTTTTTTTGGTACTGGGGATTGAACTCGGGACCTGGCGCTTGTGAGGCAGGCGGTAGAACCACTGAGCTAAATCCCTGGCCCCTCCACCCTAGTTTTTATCTTAACAGAGACCTTTTGGCTCCTCAATGGTAGAATGTGTAATTTTATCTTATTGAATTTGAGATTATTTCATGTGTTCTCCTATCATCTTTGCACTTTGCCAATCACAAATTTTCTATTGCTTTTCAGTATCCAGTACCATTTCTAAAGAGGATGTGTTTGAGTTAAAGATCACAGCTGAATTAGATGCTTTTAATGTCTTTGTTTGTGATCAGAAGTGCGCTATAGCTGATATTAAAATACATGGTGAGTAATTATTACTTGATATAGGTCTTTCTATTTCTTTACATAAACATCAAGGAAAAGTGAGCTCTCATAGGATGAATGTCTTAAGAGCCATATATTGGTTTACTTACACTGAAGATTAAAGCGAGTTTTGTAAAAGTATATTTGGCTCAGCGGTTTCACTGCCTGCTGCGCAAGCTCAAGGACCCGAGTTTGATCTCCGGTACCAAAAAAAAAAATATATATATATATATATTTGGAAATGTTACTAGTAAAATGATTAATAATTCTTTACTGACCTAAGACATTCCATCCATATGTGTTTTTAAAATTTCAGAATATATCTGAGGCTTAATCTCTTGTTGTGTTTGCATTTTCAGAATTACTTTAAACTGAGAATTGAGTATCATGGCAACATGTCTCAGAATTTTGAAAAAGCCATTTCCTTATTTCTTTTGCCTTTTTTGCATGTATAGCATAGGCAAAGGAGTTTCTGAAAGACATTTTGTTAACTTTTCCTCTCATCAGCTTGATAGAAGAATGAAGCAGTATGAATCAGTATACAGTGTTTCCAATCCTGTCACAGGTTCTGAAGAGTGCCAGGCTTCAGATCCTAGTGACACAGGTTGACCTTGAGCACATTAATTAACCTTGGTTCCATATTCTGTGGAGACAGTAATGATAATTATTCATTGGGTTGCTATGAGACTTAAGTAAAGTTTCTGCATTTATGTTTGGAAAAGTGGCACAAGACATTAAGCAGTTTTTATATGTTAAAAAACTGCACCATTCAACAAATACCACTCTGTGTTTGCTGTGTGGGGGCCCATGGTAGTGGTTTGGGGTCATAACTGGGTCTTACCTGCAGGCTTTCTTTCTGTACTGAGGAGAAATTTTAGAAATCTTTACAGTTTTAGGAATTAGAAGGAGAGAACTCTTAGAAAACTGTTATTTTTTTTAGAAGACTATTCTAAATATAATATTTTGTAGAAATAATAGTATTTTGATAGAACATTCATAAAATATTGTCCACTTACTATTATTGGAGTAACAGTTTTAAAAATAAATATTTATGAAACGGTGTTTAAAAAATATTATAACTTCCTAGGTCACCTGTTCTGTTTTTGGAGAAATGTGATGAATTTTCTTTGAGATTGTCCCCCCTCCCCGCCCTCCCCTCTCCTCCCATCCCCTACTCTCCCTTCACCCTTCTCCCTCCCTCCCTCCCTCCCTCCCTCCTTCCTCCTTTTCCTCCTCTCCTCTCCCTTCCTTTCTTTCCTTTGTGGGATTGAATCTAGGGCCTTTGCATTAAGCTATACCCCCCAATCTATTTTTTAAATTTTTTGTAATTTTGAGTCAGGGTCACCTTAAGTTTCTAAATTGCCCTGGTTGGGCTTGAACTTCCTCCTGCCTCAGCCTCCCAGAGTGCTAGGATTGCAGGCCTCCACCACCAGGTCTGGCTGGGTGTGTTTTTTCTTTTTTTGTTTGTACTGGGGATGGAATTCAGGACCTTGCACTTGTGAGGTAAGCGTAGTGCAACCACTGAGCTAAATCCCCAGCCCTAGTGTTTTTTTTTTTTTTTTTTTAATTCAGAACTTTTATGTATGAGATGCATGCAGTACTTAAAGGTATATAACCTGTCTTAGATACCTCATATGTGGACATGGGTATAATTAGTTTGTCTAATAGCTTTTATTCATTCTGTGTGTTGGTAGTATATTACTGAACTTAAACACTACTGAATTGACTCACTTAGATGGAGTGAAAACTTTGTAAAAGTCTTTCCTTCCATAGGAATGGATGCCTCTGTTTCTGTGAAGCCAAAGCAGACCAATATGTTTGCCAGACTTCAGAATATCATAGTTACAAATGTTGATTCGCAGTCCATTCACAAAAAGGTAATTTAAAAATTGACTTCTCTACTGAAGTTTATTTTGTTCTTTGTATTTGAGGTGCTTTTGTTGTTGTTTAGTATACATTTATTAGGCTGTCACATGAGGCCGTCTGTAAGGGTTAGAGATGAAAATGGTAACCATCTGCTTTCATGTGATGTGTCCACTAGGCCTTCTGGTTACTTCTGAACAATTCAGTGATGGATAGATATTTCCTTTAATAAAGGGGTTTTTATAGAGATAGGAAAAAATATTGCCAAGTAAATTTGTTTTCTCTAGCGATGTTTAAAGTAGAATTTGGATGTCTCTTTATTTCAAGGATTCTGTAATAAGAAAACTCAGGATACAAACAAGGGCCTCCAGCCCTTCGATGTAAAATCCAATTATCTCCTGCTTTCAGGCTGTCTCTATTTTGGGAGATGAAGTCTTCAGGTTCCAAATGACTCTGTATCCAGATGCCACAGAAGGACAGGCCTATGCTGACGTGTCTAAAGTAGATGGCAGACTTAGTCTCAAAGTGGGTTGTATTCAGATCGTTTATGTTCATAAATTCTTCATGTCTCTTTTGGTAAGTTTATGTTTTAATACATATTTATTTCTCGTTGGGGCCTGAATAGTTTGCCTCTATACCTGAACCCTGGCAGTCGAGATCTTCACAAAAGGCTATGTGATAAACACCTAAATGCCAAAACAGACTTCCATAATCAGTTATTTTTGAGTACACAAGTGTCTTTCTCTAACATTTTCTTAGTTTTATATTTTACAAGTACTTTTTAAATTTAGGACTTTTTAGTAATACTTATTTATTGAAGTGCCCTTAAGGATGTTTAAAAGAACTTTTAAAGGAAGCTCAGCAGGTATTTAAAGAAGTAATATTGGAACTTACAGCTTTTGCTTATATTTGTAATCACTAAGGCCATAGAATTCTTTTTTTTTTTTTTTTTTTTAATAATGTTCATGTAAGTATCCTGTGCTCAAAAGTTTAAATCTGCTTATTCCTCTTAGCGGGACTGCTAACTAAAGCTTACCTGTCATGAATTTCCACCTAAACGATCATGTTCACTTATCTAGAAAGTAGTAAGTTCTTTTGGGAGAAGAGGAAGAGACTAAGTTCCTTTGTATTATTAAGGGATGGACATTAAGAACATTGGTTCTAAGAGTGATTGTTTCTTCATTGGGAAAAATCTTTCTGTCTTTTTAATTGTATGGAGATGAAATACATCCTACTATAGATAAATTTTGATTCTTAGTCATGATTGCAGGATTGTAGACAGTTAACCATCTTTGTCCATCCATGCCTAAACATTTTAAAAAACAATTTCTCAGCTAAGTAAGCTGCCAGAACCTTATTTTCCAAGAGTAAACTTTATTTTTGTGTCCTAGAGGTACAGAATAAAACCGATTGTTGGAGAAATAAAGTGCTGTCCTCCATTCCTTTCATTTAAATTTGCATATAGAGTAACCAAGTAGACATTAATACAAAGATTTTTGAAAATTAACAAAAATTTTGTCATAAAAATTAATTTTAAAGTATTTAAGTGAAAGTTAATCCTTCCTTCTTGGAGGTAGCTATTGTTAATAGCTCAGAGTATATCTTTCTATACTTTACTCTTCACGTACACAATCATGAATAATTTCTTTTATATTACTGCATTTATTTAATTGTTCTTTTTGCAGTACATAATTTTTAAAGTATTTTCCCTTGGCGGATAATGTCTTTTTTGAGGAGCTCTTTAACTGTCAGTCTTATCCAACAGAATTTCCTCAACAACTTCCAAACTGCCAAGGAAGCCTTGAGCGCAGCCACGGTGCAGGCTGCAGAGAGAGCTGCTTCCAGCATGAAGGACTTGGCCCAGAAGAGCTTCCGCCTTTTAATGGATGTGGACTTGAAAGCGCCAGTTATTATTATTCCTCAGTCTTCAGTATCACCGAATGCTGTTGTAGCAGATCTGGGTTTAATCAGAGTGGAAAACAACTTTAGCTTGCTTCCTAAGGAACATTACTCTCTTCCCCCCATCATTGATAAAATGAAGATACAACTCACTCAGTTGAAGCTATCCAGGTAAAACTACCTGATCTAATTTTGCGTTATTTATTAGAAAGAGAATTTTCATGCAATTTTTTCCCAAGATCAAATAGTGATGTCTGATTCTCATTCTTTATTGTAATTATGAAACTTTGATCATTATTTTTGGTCAGTTGTCAGTAGTAGTGTGCTTTAAAATATCTGTATTTTGTGTTACTAAATTTAGAATGTTATTTTCCATTCTATAAAAATTATGTATTGTAAAATTATAGTTTACTAGCTGGGCATAGTGGTATAGACCTGTAGTCCCAGCTATCTGAGTGCCTGAAACAAGAGGATCACTGGAGCTCACAAGTTCAAGACTGCTTTAGGCAATAGCAAGAGCTCATCTCAGAGAACAAAGAAAAAAAAAATAGAGAGAGAATGCAAGAAAGTGTGTGTACTTGCTCAAAATATATATATTTATTTAGTTTGCACTTAGCTAGTTCCTTTTCTGTAGGTGGGAGACATATTCCTAAGTTGTAGTAAAATTTAACATTTTTAGTGAGGTATTTGAAGGACTGTTGAGTCCAAATGGGAAAGTGCTTGTCTGTTTAGTGGCAAGAGCAGCTATTTCCTTGTGCAAATGGGTGTTAGTAGGCAAGCTAGAAATGACTATTGCCGTATGGTCACTTTTTGGTTTGACATATTAAGGGCTAAATATATGATCTCTTTGTTTGTTTTCACAGAGTATAACATTTCTGTGATATTGTACTAGTTGCTGTATTGTATATTTTTGTGAAAGATACTAAATGATGTCATAATTTCTGGAAATTGTGTCTGTTTTTTGATAACTGCATATAAACTATTTGATTTGGACTGATTTATGAAAGGAAATAATGCTTTAAAAGAGTTCTGATAATTAGCTTTTAAATAGGAGTCCTCATTTTAAATGTAAATTTAAAAAAATATATATAAAATCTTGTTTTTCTCTTAGAACTATTTTGCAGGCTGAATTGCCACAGCATGACACTGAAATTTTAAAACCAGTAAACATGCTTTTGTCTATACAACGAAATTTATCAGCAACATGGTATATGCAAATTCCAGGGATAGAGGTAAAAGGAAAACTCAGACCTATGCAGGTATGTGTATAATATTAAGTAATGGGCATTGCCAGGTAGACCTTCATTCTTGATCATAGTAGTGCAGTTCTAGGGTATTAAAAGGAATATCTTGTTAACTGCAAATGAGCTCATCCTTGTCTCTTGTTCTGGAGACCCCTGTAGTCAGGTTCCACTATCCACATGCCCAGTATATGATGCAGACATGAGAGAAAAGTACACTAAGAGACAGAACTAGAAGAGAAAGCAGGGTGCCAGGATGACCAGTGCCGGTGCAACTGACGGAGGCCGCTGGCCAGTCCCAGGCACTGACTTTTATTGTCAATCGATCGGGTTAAAGGTGAGCTGTGAGTGGTTTCTATGGAAATTAATGTAAACAAGGCTCGTAAAGGACAAGACAAAGCATTCTCTTACCCTAGCATCACACACACACACACACACACACACACACACACACACACACACGAGAGGAGTAAGGTTTGAGATAAAACCTGTTGAGTCTGCTGAAAATACTGTCCTTGATTTTGGGAAATTCTCTTAAAATATTTTTGTGCAAACATTGTATTTCCATTAAGATATGAACAATTAGAAAATCAAAACGGTATATGTTCTTTTCTCTTGCAGTTAAGTAATTTATAGCATTCATTTTTCTATTCTTTAAATTTTATTTTGTTAATACATAAAAAATAAAAATTGTACATATTTAGGGTACATCACACTTCATTTCAATACACATGTGTATTGTACATTGTTCATATTAGAGTAAACATTTCAGTCTACAGAAATGTTTGTCATGTTAAGTGAAAAATTAAAATGTTTTCTAGATTTTAAAATTTAATTTAATAAAGAAAATATAAAAACTGTTCTATGGAAAATAATTTTTCATAAAAATGATTAGAGAATAACATTGGTAAATACACAGTGTATCATGATCTAAAAAATATTTTCATTTGCTAATCTTTCAGCTCATTTCCTAAGGTACAGTACTATTAAAATCTTATTAGATTTAAATTGTAAGAGAATGAAAAGTGATTTTCACATCCCACATTCAGAGCTTTTTAGTTGTGATTTTCTTTTTAAACTAAAAAGTTTTTGATTGATACAGTATTTGCATATGTTTATACAGTGTCTGCGGGACTAAGCAGTACTTTAAGGTACAGAAAGCCTCTTTGAATTAGGAAAGTTACCATCACTTTGAATAGGCAAAGATGTATATTGGTAGCAAAGCAGTGAAGCAGTATTTTCAGTGGCATCCTTAGCAGGTTATGTGCCAGGTCCCAGGAGCAGGAGAGGCTGATGGACAGCAGCGGTTTTCCTGTGCCCATGTGTGAGACTTGAAGCCATGCAGCAGGATTGGGATAGGAGGGAGAGACTAAACAAATAGAATGAATGAAAAGCAGACAGAAATATAATGTTAGTCATTTTGATATCTGTGATTATTTTAGAGTTGTTCTGAGATAAGATAGGAAGGGTCAAAGGAACATTTAGGAAAGCATTTTAAGTAGAAGCTTGTGGAAATGAAAGGTTTCTGTGTATATGTATTAGTGGATATACAAGTGGATGTATTATATGAGAAGGAATCATTGAGTTTTTGGCAGTTGGGTTTTTGTAGAGCAGTCTGTATTCTAGAGTATGGGTTCTTTCTCTCAGTTTCTCCTTTACTGCAAAGATTTTAGATCCCAGGACACTCTTTGACCCTTCCTTTCAAAGACTGTAGAGTTATAGGTTTGCTGAAAGCAAAAGTAAAATGTAAGTGTCTCTCAATAGGAGAACGTGGGTAAAATTACGTTGTATAATTCGTAGTTGGGAATTACAAAGCATATGCAGTGAATGAACCAGAACCGTACCAAACATGATTATCTTAAGCATAAAAATGAAAAAATTAATTGCAAAATGATAGTAAAGTTCTATATTACTTGAAATTTTTTTAACAAGCAAGGGTTATTATATATGTATATGTATACACACATATAAACATAACTTATAGGACATGCAATAATGGTAAATGTAAGAAGCATTCATGGAAAAAATTATCTTATTCAGCATAGAGTCTGTGGAGAAGGGAATGGGGTTTCACAGTTACATAGAGGATTCAGCTATATTTGTAAAGAAAAAGATCTGAAGGAAATGTGGCAACTTGTTAAGATTTGATAAAGCTAGGTGGTAGGCACATGGAGGATTATAGTATTCTCTATCGTTTTCCTTTATGCTTCAAGTATTTCAAAAGAAACAAAAAAATGCAGTAGGTCCAGCAGGTTAGCAGGTGTAATCATTACTTTAACCAAAGTACCCTTGTTAATTCAACAGTGCAACCTTACTGTATAACATTTCTGTGGCCTAATTCATCAGTGATCCAGGCATGTTTAAACACATTCTCTTTGGCCACGGTGTGTGTAATTTTCTGAATCATGTTATAGCCAAGAAAGGGTATCAGACAAGTGACACCAGCATGTTCTTTCCAGTATATTGTTTGACAGTTCTCAAAGAACTGTGGGGTCACCTTTCAAGATTATCTTTTAGACTTATTGAAGGTCAGTGTAATGGATGTCCCTAGCTGGGACTGGGACAAATAAGAAGTACCTGACAATTGCCTTGTGCTAAAATATCTCCCTATTTTCATTTAGGAGAAGCACTAGGCGATTTCACATGCTGAAGAGACCTAATTTAGGGAACACAGGTTACTGTGGTATCCACAGGAGAAGTTACTGTGCATGTGTGCATGTTGATGTGATTTTTTTTTTGTACCGGGGATCTTACTCGGGTCCTTGTGCTTGCGCAGCACATGGTGAAACCACTGAGCTAAATCCCTGGCCCTTGATGTGAATTTGTATATAAGTTCTGAAACCAAACTTTTATGACCACAGTGTCTGGAGAGAAAATTTACAAAAGATAGAAGGATCAGAGGCTTCAGAAAAACCACTGATTTAATAGATTTTAATAGCCAGTAGTGAGTATGTTGTTCTACAGCACCCTGTGAGGGAGATGCTCAAGAGTAAAAGTCTTGAGTTAAGGAAGCTGGGAAACTTGGCAAACATCACAGCTTGAAAATGCTAGAGCTTTGGGGTCATAACTGCCTAACTCAGAAGCCGTGCTCTTTTGTTTTCTCCTTTTTGTCAGACATACCCTTTTGTAAAGGTAAAAGATGAATAAGATGCTGCCTTCCTAGTTTGTGTTTTGGTTTTTTTTTTGGTACCGGGGATCGAACTCGGGTCCTTGCGCTTGCACAGCAGATGGCGAAACCACTGAGCTAAATTTCCAACCCTGTGTTTTGGTTTTAAAAAATATTTTGTAGTTATTATTCTAAGAGGTATTATTTTGATATGTTAAGAAAATGTACTATATATGTGCAGATGCATATGTACTGTTAATAGAGCTACACAACAGGAGAAAACCTTTTTACTTATTGTTGGAGGCCAGAAACCAAACTGCAAACCAAAATTCAAAGTGTTGAATTTATTGGAGCAGAGTGAATACTGTAGGAGGAGGAATGGACGCTGGGTGGGAAGAGAGACGAATGGGCTTGGGGAGATGGGGGTCATGGGAGTGAGGCCAGGGCCATGAACCAGACAGCTGGTCGCAGGCCAGGCAGCATGGTGTTGCAGTATCAGAGGCAGGGCCTGGCTGTGGGTGGAGCACAAGACCCCCCTCCGCCCATGTGTCTTGCACTAGACAGGTGGGAGCTTTCTCTTCCACTCTTTGTCCCAACTCCTTGCGCATCTGTCACTATCTCTGTCTTCCTATCTTTTTTTTTTTTTGGTACCAGGGATTGAACTCAGGACCTTGCACTGGTCAAACAGGCGCGGTGCCACTGAGCTAAATCCCAGCCCTGTCTCTGTCTTTTTATGTTTATTTTTGCAGTGCTGAGGATTGAACATAGGGCTTGTTCATGCTAGGCAAGCAGTCTATGAGTGAGGTTCATCTTCACTTCATCTTTCATTTTTTTAAATAGATGAACATTTGGTTAAAGTTAATTAAGAGATATACATTTGATATTCTGGATTTTTTTTATTACTTTATGTTGACATTTATTGCTGATTTCCAGGTTGCTCTCAGTGGAGATGACTTGACAGTTTTGATGAAAATTTTGCTGGAAAATCTTGGAGAAGCTTCTTCCCGGCCAAGCCCTACACAGCCTGCGCAGGAGGCTGTGAGAGTGAGGAAAGATGTTCCAAGTGGGGCGGACCACCTGAGAGGTAGAAATGGATGAAGACTCCTTGTTTGATTATTGAAGCATTGTTATTGGTATCCTCTTTATACTTAGTGCCCTTGAGTTTTGCACTCCTTGTTGGACTGTTTACTGGGGAAAACCTGCTCCAGCTACAGCTGCGTCTGGAAGCTAGCTCCCAGGAGAAGGAGATATGCCCATTGTTTGTGATAAGAGGACAGTCTCTTGTTCTTTCTGCATGATCCTTTTTTGCCCTTGACTTGTGAAAGCTGCATTTGCTGAATTCCCCAGGCACTGAGGTGGTGCACATTGAGAGGAAGTCAGTAGGCAAGCAATGCAGCATGGTCCCAAAATAATTGAGAGAGAAAAGGGCCTTGGTATATCATCATCTTCAGGGGACTGAACGATGAGAAAGAAGGGTATTCTTTTGTAGTAATGGCTTTACTTAACTGACTTTGGTAGAGAATGATGTTGTCAGATAGACTTCAGGAGTGTTTCAGATTGTTAAATTGAACCTTTGAAAAACATTGAATCTTTTAAATTCAGCCATTTTTAAATGATGGTTGTTTTAGAATAAAGATTTCTTCTTACTTTCTTAAATAGATTATATGAAATACAATTCCACTGCTTTTCATTATTTGAAGTCATTAAAATGAATGTCAGATGTTTTGTTAGAATGTAAATAGGTTACTATTTCCATGGCTGGAGAGAGGAAGTACCTCTTGCCTGTATAATAAATGCTCCTGGGCTAGTATTTATCCTTTTATAATGTTCTCAGATCATCAGTTTAATTGGTAAAACTTCCACTTAATACCGTACCAACACTGTTCCTATAGCTAGACTGGACATGTTTTGGAGTTAGACATGTTCCCACAAATGATGGGAACATTGTTCAGAATAGGTTTCTGGTTTAGGTAGTTGTTTGTGTTGCATAGCTTGATGGAGCCAGCATTTCCTCCTCCACTTGGGGTTGTGCTGCCTTCTCGACAAATGCTGGAAAAGCAGACTGTTTCAGTTAGAGGCTACATAGAGATGAACACAGGATGCCCAGCACACATTATTTGGTTAATGATCTCATTAGGTTCAGCTGTGATCAGATTTGTGTTTTTGGTTCTCACTGATATTAATACGAAATGGGAAAATTTATGAGTTTGGATGCAAGCAACAAAGAATGGAATATAAATTATTTTTAGGAAAGTGGAGAAAAACAGGATTTTCTAGTTTGGAGAACTCTTACATGGTTAAAATTACACAGTTTTTGCTTTCCTAGTAATTTGTCAGGAGTTCCTGTAGAATGACAACAAAGAGAACCAATCTCTAAAAAAGAATTTTATCATCTGTGTGTAAGAAAGATTGAAAGCAGCCTGTATTTTGTCTGTCTCACCTAAAGATGAGAGAAAAGAGTAAATTTTTCTTGAAATCTGTTTCACCTCAAAATTCCACAGTTTCCCCACCTTCCATCATGTTTGAGCTCTGATGGTGCTATTGGGTTTATATTCTGTTCTTTATAAAGGCAGTGGGTGGGCAGTGTAGGTAATTAAGGATAGTAAGACATGCACTCTTCCAGCAGATCTTTCACTCTGTAATCTAGGGCCAAATATTTCGACTTTGTACCTTTTATCACATAATCTCTTGAGGATGGCTTGAAATCGGTGAAAATCCCTTAAGAGTAATCTTTGGAGAACTTTAAAAAAATTGTCTTGAGATACTGTTTAGTCTCCCCTTCGCTGCTTTGACCTATACTAAAAATGTAATAATCATTGCTGTTTTTATATACTGTCACATGATATAATTATACTAAAAGGGATAATACAGATTTAGAATAATAAATTATTATCCCAGCTTAAAAATATGTATAAAATAGTATACCTGCATAAAAGCTTTATAATTTTAACTTTCATGTTTAAACCATCAGAACAAGAAGATCTGACAGACATAAAGCCTTCAGTGGACCAGAATGTCACGCTCCAATTTGACTTTCACTTTGAATCTCTTTCCATTATCCTTTATAACAGTGATATCAATCAGGTATGTAGTAAAGTTTTGTAGTGGAGATAAACTTGTAGCTTTTGATACTCATTCTTAGAATAGTGGCATTGCTTCATGTTAACTATTCATTAAAAAATCTTAACATGTCTACCAGTATCTATGTGTCCTATAAAACATGGGCACATGCTGGTTCTGCTGCCAGTCTTCACTGGGTTTGTGTTTCTAATCTCACAAGACCAAGGGACACCACTCAGGGTTCATTTCTCTCTAGCTAACATGGACACCATATTAGCAACATGATCTGTTGCTAATAGAGGATTTTTATGTGTGATTAATTATATATTCCATTTTATGACATAGCTAGATATATATGTATAGGTACCTATTTAAGAATAATTTAGTGGCTTTAGAGCTTTTGGTGATTATTCTGAAATTTGTGATTGTCCATGAATGTAAACAGTGGCTGTATCACCATTGAATAAATGTTATATATTGTGAATTTGTACTAAAGATACTGTTAATAAATATAAGAACCAAAGTCTAGTTGCATAACAATTTGAGCTAATATATCAGTGCTATTTTAGAAAGCTATTTTTTAATGTATTGTGTTTAACAGATATTTTTATGATGTCAATTATGTCATATATTTGTTTGTTTGGTAACGGGAATTGAACTCAGGACCTTGCACTTGTGAGGCAGGTGGCGGCACCACTGAGCTAGATCCCCGCTCCTGCCATATATTACTGTGTATAGTTCATATGTAATTCACATAAATCTATGTCAATTTTAAGTATTATATCTGTTAATGTGCCTTTTCATATACTAATTCATATTTCATACTGTTTTCTAAAAATAATACACTATTCATACATTGTTACCGTTAAAGTTTGATTTAATGTCTGTTATTTATCCAGTGTACTGCCTTAATTACGAATGTTTAAAGTGCATGAAAGCATCAGAAAATGTTCATATAGCAAAGGAGCAGTTAAATGGACTGTTGATTCTATTTAAGGAGCACCATCTATTGGTTCTTCAGCCTTTGGTTTCCATCCTTTCTTTCACTTCTTTCCTTGCTCACCTTTTGTATTCCTTTAGTCGCTGAGTACCTTCAGGTTTTTCTTTCATTGTACATTGTTCTTTACTGTCAGTTTCTACTGGTGCTTGTGTGAGACTCTTACTAGCTCACACTTGTACTGCAAAGGCTTCCTTTGATCTGTCTTAAACTTTGGTGCAAGTTACGTATCATAAGTAAATCTCCCATGGCCACTTGCAGCTTCCCATTCTACTTAGAAGCATTCTGTGTGATAGTATGTGAGTGTCCCCTTATTGAAAAATGGGTCTTCGAGTTGTCTGTATCAGTAGCCATATTAGGAAACATTAGTCTCTTGTGATCACTAGATGTGAGTCAGGTCATTTGTGTCAGTAGTTAAAGGACAAAAGTTGTGAATTATTTCTCTCTTTATAAATTAAAGGGATTCAAAGCTTGCCAGCAGGCATTCTAACCAGTAGGTCACCAGCACATCTCTTATCAAGGCCATGGTCTGCATTGTGACTGATATATTTTACTTTCCCAAGTAAAAGAACATCACTGTACTTGATTATTGTTTTGGGTCGGTTCTTTGAAGTCTGAGCTTATCTAGAGAATCTGGATTTATGTTATGGTAGAATAAAGATCAAGGCCCCCTTTGCTAGAAATTAAAAATTCCAATCCTCATTTGAGTCCTTAATTAGCCATCTGTATTTCATTCTAGCCTCATTGCCTGTCATTGTTAAACTAGAATGTTCAAGCCTACTGCGCTTTCCCAAAAACAAGACCTAGCTAGAAGATGATGAGCTTTGAAAAGTAGAGATCAAAAATGCCAGCCCCAGTCAGCCTATCCTTGCCCAACTTGCCATCAGGTTTTCAAGGCTCATTATTTTCTGACTAGGCCTTATTTTCAGGGAAAGAGGATAGTTGCCTTGTGCCCTGTGTCCTGAGAGGATCTCAGATGCTCATGTAGATTCATCTCACATTCCCCATGTACAATGTCATATACCCTCTTATCTGATCTCACTCATCCTTCAAGGCACAATTAAGTTCTTAACCTATTGCATGATTTTTTTGCAGCCTACAGTAATTAGTTTTACCTGAGATATTACTATTTATACTTTTTATGTAACTACTTCATATCCTTTGTGGAAATTGGGAAGATATAAATATTAATAAAAATTACTATATATCACAAGGTATTTGATTATTTACAACTTACAGCTTCTCCTTTTAATGTTCCTTTTTTTGGTACCGGGATCGAACTTGGGACCTTGCGCTTGTGCAGCAGGTGGCGGAACCACTGAGCTAAATCCCCGGCCCTAATGTTCCTTTTAATGTATTTCTTGTTTATTCTTTCGACTAAGGTATAAGCTCACTGAGATCACCTATAAGGATTATTCTTTATTTTAATTTTTTTTTATAAGGCTTATTCTTTCTCATAAACTCCCTAGTTCTTATTACAGTTGTTTACAGAAAAATTCGTTGCTGTTTATTAGCTAGATTGCATCATTAGCTGACAAAAATATTTACTAATCAGTTTTATTTGCATTAAACTATATCAGGTTAATTTTTATATATTAACCATTGTTGAGGATCAGGACACACATATGCATTTATTTGTATGAACATGTATACTCACAGACAAGGTATAACTGTTCCATTTATGTGTTCTCCCACCCATACTTTGAAAATTCGTGAGATTGATTTGCCTTTAAGCTCTGGATTAAGAAAGACATTTAAAAGTAATTGTGTAGTGTTTAAAACTCATTGATTCTTTTGCTTGAAAAATGTACCACAGGCGTCCAAACTGTCCTTTCATAATGAGAGTTTCCGTCTTGGTGAGCTCAGACTATATCTGATGGCCTCCGTGGGGAAGATGTTCAAGGATGGCTCAATGAATGTCAGCCTTAAACTGAAGACGTGCACCCTGGATGATCTCAGAGAAGGCATTGAGAGAGCAACGTCGAGGTTTGTCAGATCACGCAGATCACAATGTCCTGGATACCACTCACGATTTACCTTGCACCTGGCATTGCTGCGGGCATTGCTGCGGGCATTGCTGTGCTTGGGTTCTTCAAAAGATCCCTCTTTTTTGGTCGGTCTTCTAATTTGATTTGCGTCAAGAGCAATGCTAATACGAGATTCAGCTGCTGTGATGTTTACATTAAATGAAAGTTTATTAATAAAATGGAGCATCTTAAAAATGAGAACTTAGAGAATGAGTTTTAGTAGTTAAATATATGGTGATATATTTTTTAAAAATTATCTCCATTAGGCACAATCATTCATTTAAAAGCCTTAAAATTATGGCCTTTTCCTTTGTCTTATTTTGTCCATGTCTTTTTAAACAGTTCTGCAAAATTTCTTTCAGTTGTTTTTGTTTGTTTGTTTGTTTTGGTACCAGGGATTAAACTCGGGTCCTTGTGTTTGTGAGGCAGGTGGTGGAACCACTGAGCTAAATCCCCGGCCCGTCTTTCAGTTTTTAATAGGAGTGGGATCTCTAGCATAATCACGTTATCAACACATTTTTCATAGTTGGATGTCAGCCTGCTGTAAAGTTAGAAACAAGTAACTTCAATAGCCTAATTGTATATTTATTCCTTTTTGAAGTAATGAGACATATAATAGTTTTTACTGTATGGTTTTCTTTGGAGAAAACCGTGCTGCTACTTAATCTTGTATTCTGTTGGGTATGTACTGGATAGTGCTAAACTCTTAATTTTCCTGAGAAATAAATAAATGAGGGAGGGATGCTACCGTGCCTCAACTTTTCTGTTGTGTAAATTTCAAGTCTAGGGTAACTGTCCACAGCTCTTTAGACAACGGTGATAAATGCCATGATCTGTTTGTTAGCCTGGTCTTTACAATGCACACAGGGAGGTATAGGAACTCATTGAAGACACTTGATAAGCACGTGCTGATTTGAGTTGCATTCAGTACTTTTGGAATTCAACTATTTAGGATGATTTTTGGAGATAAATTTCTTTAGGGAGATAAATTCCTTTATTTAGTAAAAAATAGGAAAAGGGTCTCTTACATTTTGTGGGACTATGTTGATGTTTGCCTAAGTCATTTCTAGCAGTCGTAGATTTCTTTAGTATTAAATTGCAATTATAAAATTGCTTAATCTCATGAACCCTGTTTTGGAATTGGGAAACCATGTCTTAGTTGCTAATCACATTCAGTTAACACGTTCCTATTTTCTGTTCAGATAAAAACTAAATGGTGAAAGAAAGATTATTAAAATACATAGGAAAAATTTGATCGTTTTTTATTTTTAGCAGGAATAAAATAATGAATGATACACATATTTTTTTCAGGATGATTGACAGAAAGAATGACCAAGATAACAATAGTTCTATGATTGATATAAGTTACAAACAAGACCAAAATGGAAGTCTAATTGATGCTGTCCTTGACAAACTGTATGTATGTGCCAGTGTGGAGTTTTTGATGACTGTGGCAGATTTTTTCATCAAAGCTGTGCCTCAGAGTCCAGAAAATATGGCAAAAGAAATACAGGTTCCATCAAGACAGACTGCCACAGGGAAAGTCAAGACAGAGAAAGGTTAGCAGAATTTATCTGTCATAGATGACAGCTTATTGTATATTTTAACACAAATTACAAACAGGAGGCAAGAGGAGTGTAAAATTTGAGAAAATAAAATCAGGCTTTTACATTTAAACATGTTTTACAGGAACATGTTAGTAAGTAGGTGTTTTTAAGTGGGAGGTATAGTAGCAACATTATTAGGGGCAGAGAAGCTGCCCTGGTACTTGTGCCACCCATGTTTTTTACTTAGCTGGAAATGGAGTTAATTGGGGTAAGTGGTTGGAGGATTTTTTTATGAAGGGGAGGTTGTTTAGTCAAAGAAATATCTTGAAGAATTCTATCACATTGAAGAGCAATTGAAAAGATAAAAGGAAACAGTGAGGATGTTGGAGAAGCTGGAAGGATTCCCCTAGACGTCACCCAACTCTGGCCTGGGTATACACTGAAACCATTTTGAGCCCTGTAATTTTTATATCCCAGCATCTCTATATCAGTTGGTGATTTTCCTTGTTAAATTATCATTACTTAAGGTCAGGCATTTTTCTCTGCAATGCATAACCCAGCAAGATGGGAAAACTAACATTTACTGCAAGGTCAGAATGTTATTTTTCCATTTGCCTTAAATGTTTATTAAATAATCATACTGATATCTCTTCATTTATATATTGAATATATTTATAGTATAGAGTACATAACTCTGACTCCTGACCTTGGGGCAAAGCCAAAGTAAACAAACGAGAAAGGTTTATCTACTTCATCAGGATGTCTCCTCTTCTTCCTGGTGTTTCTCTGTAGTTTTCCCCTCTTGGCCACTGTATCGTAGAATCACACATTCTCATGTGTGTATGCATGGGCCTACTTTGATTCTGATGAGAAGAATTTCAGAACAATACTATTCCTGAGCATATCAAAGATCAAAGTAGGTATGATCTTTTTTGGGCAAGTTTTAGGTTGCGTTTTCTGGCACAATTAGCATTTATTAAATAATCATGTAAATATTAATGTTCATCAGCCAACTCATAATATTAGTAATTTCACCATATCCATCGTAATAAAAATACTGAGAACCGTTTATCAACTTGTCTATAACATTGTAGTCATTCGAAGATTTACTTTATAATTTTTGTGGCCTCTGTTTTTGTTTCTCCAGATGATTCTGCAAGACGAAACGTGACATTGAAGGCCATGATCACAGACCCGGAAGTGGTGTTTGTTGCCAACCTGACCAGGGCTGATGCTCCTGCACTGACAGCTTCCTTCCAGTGTAACCTCTCTCTGTCAGCGTCCGGGCTGGAGCAGATGATGGAAGCTTCTGTGAGAGATCTGAAAGTGCTCGCTTGCCCTTTCCTCAGAGAGAAGAGAGGGAAAACCATTACCACAGTAAGAACTGCATTTGACCCTAATCCTCAAGAATGGCAGAAATAGTTGAATCCTAGAATCTTAGAACCTGAGAGCTCTGCAGGGCTTTAGCAACTATTTACTACAACTGTGGGTTTTGCAGATAAGGATGTAGAGTTCCAAAGATGTTAAGTGACGAGTCATGGCTGCTAGTGACAGAACTAGGGACTACCTGGGCCCGGGGTTTAGCTCAGTGGTTCCGCCGCCTGCCTCACAAGTGCAAGGTCCCAAGTTCAATCCCCGGTACCAAAAAAAAAAAAAAATTTACAAAAGAACTAGGGACTACCTTCAGACTAGTTTTCTTTTTATTATATTGTCTTCTGTTGAATTTTAGTACAAATCAGGATTTTTTCAGCTATTTCTTTTGTTCACTGTAGTGTACCCAATCAGAGAATAAGTAACTATTTAAGCTTGGAATGAAAAAAACTCACTTGGAGTCATATGACAGAGGGACTTCTGTGTTACTCAAGACTAACTGGTTAATCATCTGGAAACTGTTACCCTAACCTTTACCTTGGTCATTAGCTCATTTTATAGAAACCTCATAAATATATTTTACAGAGCGCCTCATTTAAAAAGTATTTTTGTAAAAAGAAATACTTCTGGTAGTAAATGTTTGTCATTACTTCAGAATTTTGAATGAAGAGCTTCATCAGAACTGTTTGAAGTCCTTTAGCAGTGTACATGGATTTGTTATAGTTCAGAAGAGCCTTCACAAGAGATTCTTAGCTAATTGAATTTGCCTTTTTGCTTTTAGTAGTAGTTTACAGTTCAGAATCCCAGTTTAAGTGAGGCATGATTCGTATAAGTGTGTGTGACATATTAATGAAAATGTGGCTTTCATTTATTTGTCTAGGTCTTACAGCCATGCTCTTTATTTATGGAAAGATGTACCTGGGCCTCAGGAAAGCAGAATATAAATATTATGGTTAAAGAATTTATAATTAAGGTTAGTGCCTGTCAGATTCTTTGTGTGCAAATTCTTGAAATAATATCTTAGTCTCTCATAAATCTAGCATTGCTAGTCAGTCACATATTTGGTAATCAGATTGCCTCCAGTATTAAAATATATTTTCTTTAATGTAAGCATTTATTTGTGTTTTCTTTAAATGACTACCTTTTAATAACCTACAAATGGCAGAGTGGTTTTCTCTGTTATATTTGCCTTTGTGTATATGTGTGTTGGAGGGGAGAGAAGAGATAGGGAGAGAAAGGGTGGAGATGAGGTTGCTATTGTTTTATTTGTAATATTACTTTTAGGCTTTTATTTAATGTGTAATTTGGTTTGATAAGTATGTGATTAGCTATTTTATTCAGCTTATATATTTGTTGTGACAAATGTATGCTGGAAATAAATTATCAGGATTTGGATTTTAAAAGATCGTTCACATTTAAAATATTGAAGAACAATCTATTCTCCAATGTTATTCAGATTCTTTAAGTATGACTTCATTCCAAGTTATAAATGGGAAATGCAGGATACATTCTCAAATCCTTTTTCTGTCTTTTGAAAGGATGCAAAAATGAGATGGTTAGTTCCAGTAAGATATAATGTAAGTGATAGTAGCTTTACTTATGTAGGTCAGTGACAGGTAGTGATTGAACTAAGGCTTAAACTAATTTCATTTGAAATGTTTAAAATAACAGTGTAGTTTTCCTCAGTTTAAAACAATACTGGGTAGGGCCGGGGATTTAGCTCAGTGGTTCCGTCGCTTGCCTTGCAAATGCAAGGACCCGAGTTCAATCCCTGGTACCAAAAAATCAACAACAACAACAACAAAAAAGCAATACTGGGTAAAGCCGGCTGTGTGACACCTGCCTGTAATCCCAGCACTCAGAAGGCTGAGCCAGGAGGATTGCTGTGAATTCAGGGCACCCTGGACTCCATAGTGAGTTCATAGCCAGCCTGAACTAAGCAAGACCCTGTCTCAAAAAATGAAACAAGCAAGCAAATAAACAGTCTTATATTACATTTGCTAATGCATTTACTTTTTTTTTAAAGACGTAGAATAATAAATGGGAAGAAAAATGAATTTGCGTATGTTTTCTCTAAGACATTAGGTTAAGTGTTAGGGGGACTTTCTTTTCTATGTATAAAACTTTTTTTTATTTTTGGTACCTGGGATCGAACTCAGGACCTTGTGCTTGTGAGGCAGGTGCATTGGCACTGAGCTAAATCCCTGGCCCTGTATAAAACATTTTTGAACTCCTATTATATGTAAAAAATACCCTATAAATGGCATTGGCAATACATGGTCCCTGTTTTCAAAAAAACTTAATGACCCACAGGGAAAGAAGTAAATCAGTGATTGTAGCTTTTTGAATGTGAGAGGCATGCACATGGTGCTGCTGGGAGCACAAACAAGGGCCACTGATTCTGACCAGGACATCAAGAAAAGCTGTCTGGAAGTGAGACATCTGGAACTGAGCTTTGAAAGTTGATGGAGGTTAGACGGATGGAGAGGAAGGGGAAGACGTGCCAGACAGAACTGACCATGTACACAGAGGCAGAGGTTTGAGAATGTTCTTTAAGAACTTAGAGGAGTGGTCCCCTGTGGCTGGATACAGTGGTGTGGTTGAGTTGTAGGACTGGGAACATTAGTTACAGGTGGCATTAATAAGACAAGAGAAAGGACAGGCAAGTGAGGAAAGCAGTGCATGTTAGATCCTGGTTTTGATGATGTAATTGTATCTGTTTAATGTACTAGTTAAGTAAGGGTTATGAGAAGTTAACAGGAAAGGAATCCTTTTAACTTATTTAATCCAGTATTTCTCAGTCTTTGGAGAACTCTTGCTAGCTGACTGGATAGGCATTAGCTCGCAAAGAGTTCTGTGCACCAAGCTGAAGAGAGTTTGAATTTTATTCTGAAAGTTATGGAATTTGGCAAAGATTTTAAGCATAGACGTGACATGCCCAGAGTTAGGTTTGAAGAAAGAATGCTGGTGACAGTTTGGAGGGTAAGAAGAAAGAGCACTGATTGGACATAGAAGATATCTTCAGTAGATGGCTGCAGAATGCAGCTCAGTGGTAGAGTGCTTGCCCAGCAAGTGGCTGGGCCTGCGGTTTGATCCCCAGTACTACAAAATAGATTAATAAATTGAAAAATAAATAAGGCAAAAATGTCATCAGTGTCAGGGCTAAAGTACAGTGAAAGGAATGAGAAAATACAGTGAAAGGAATGAGAAAGATAATCAGAAGCAGAATTCACAGATTTGGGTTGGGTCAGAGGGGATCCATGCATGATTTCAGCCTTCCTCTTTCCATTAGACAAATGGAAGCCATCTGTGTGTATCTCCATTAGCTTCACACACCTTGGTTTAGTGAATATAGCTGGTTGAAAAGTGAACAATTTGGTAACATCTCTGCATTTTTCTGTTGACACTGTTATCTCTGAGTTGTTCAGCTTAGGTGTTGGGTTTTGACTACTGCTATATAACTAATTACTTCAGGTACAGTGAGCAGGAATCAGTGTTATGCAGTTAGTAGACATCTCACCTGAATTCTTGTTTTCCTTACTTATGAACTGAATATTAAGTTAAATTTTAATTTGTTAACTTTTAAGTTTTTAACATGTGTTTCAGTTCTCCTCATCTGGGAAAGAATTTTTTCTAAATTTTTCTCTGCTTTGCTTTTTAAAGATTTCACCCATCATTCTGAATACAGTGATGACAATCATTGCTGCCATGTCTCCAAAGACAAAAGAGGATGAATTGAAAGACACATCTAAGGAAATGGAAAATCTTTGGGGTATCAAATCTGTGGATGATTATGACTCTTGGTTTCTTGGTGTTGACATGGCAACAGAAGCAACCGAAAATTTCAGAGAGATGGATCATCTGCTGATAGAGGAAAATTGTGCTGTTGCTGTGCAGTCAGTGCAAGTCACTCTAGAATGTGGCCTCGGCCATCGAACTGTACCTTTATTATTAGCAGAGTCCAAGTTTTCTGGAAATATCAAAAATTGGACTTCCCTTTTGGCTGCTACTGCTGACATGACACTACAGGTATGGAGACATCATTTAGTACCTCCAGGGGCAGCTACTTGAAAGTAAAACTTCAGAATTAAGACTTCTGTGGGTGTTTCTTGTTTGTTTGTTTTGTTCTGTTTTGGTTTGTTTATGCATGGCTGTGTTAGATAATATATGTGAATACATTCATATTCTGACATTCAATTTGTGGATGTGTAATTATATGTGTGGTAACTTTCTAAGAAGTCTTTTGCTAAATAGTTTAAGAAATTAGAAAAATAAAGAGAAACATTCTTTTTATGTGTATGTTTTGTGCGTTTTGGTGGGTGGTTTTGAATGGCTATTGCCATATCGTATTAGTTACTTAATTTTTTTCTCCTCATTACAGAATTGCATAATTAAGTTGAAAGACTGACTTTTTATAATTCTGTGCCTTTTCAGGTTCACTATTACAATGAAATCCATGCTGTCTGGGAGCCACTGATTGAGAGAGTGGAGGGGAAGAAACAATGGAATTTAAAGCTTGATGTAAGGACACAGTAAAATATCTTTGTATAGAGTGACACTACACATATTTGTTAATATTTTTTGACTCAGTAATTGTCAAAATGTGGTCTAGGCTCCCTGGAGCCCTTTTAGAGTATCCATGAGATCTAAAATATTTTTATATGTATATTCAGATATATAAGTTTGTTAATGTCCTTCATCTCTCTACTTAGATTTTTAAAATATTTTTCATTGAAAATGTTATTTATATTAACATATAACTTATTTTTAGATGAATGGTAAAATTTTTCACAGTTTTCATTTCTAATGGAGTACGTATTGATAGATAAATGAAGCTCACATAAATGAAGCTCTTTGAGATAGTGATTTTTAAGGGTAAGACTAAAAATCTTGGAGAATTGCTACTGATTCATGAACTTTTTCTTATCTCTTCATGGTATTTTTGAGAGTGCTTCAGAATCCTGGGTACCAAAGCACAATTTTCTAAAGTCCCAGGTGTGTGATTACTCTTAGCAGATTGTCCCAGAGCCCCCTCTCTGGGCAGCCTCGTGGAGCTGTTGCACGCTGATGCTGACAAAGAAGGTTCCTTGTTTTAAAAGGGAGCAGTCACTTAACTTGTGTCCCAGTGTCTTCTGAATAAAATAGAAGTAATATTTCTGGCCTCTCTCTCTCTGGCATAAGGAGGCTAACCAAAAATAGTTTATACAGCTTTTGAAATAATATTAGAACAGAACCACGCATGTGGTATTGCAATACATGGAATTTGATGGCTAGTTGAAAGCTTATGATATTATTTATTTATAGATGTTACTGGTAAAAAGTAGAAAGCAAGAAACTGTTATTTCCAAACGGTACCTCCAATAAGGACCAGTGAGGACTTAATCTATTCATAATCACCACTGGGCAACGCTGAGTAACTAGATATGCTTTGGGGCGGGGGTGCACCAGGATCAGCTACTGTGGCTGACTGAGTGCTTCCCTGGCACAGTTCTAAGCATTTTCCTCAGAGTGGACTATGCACTGAAAGAAAGACTGTTGATCTGCTCTAAGCAAAGGGAATCTCTGAATATTTTTGAAAATGATACTTTTGAGAAGCCTTAATATAAAGCAACCAGTTTAGGAGAATTCAACACTATTGACTGTTTTAGTTTTAATTTTTTTTTTTTTTTTGGTACTGGAAATCAAACTTGGGACCTTCGGCTTGTGAGGCAGGCGGCGGAACCACTGAGCTAAATCACCCACTATTGACTGTTTTAAATTTATTACTAGTTCGCTAATAAATTTTTATGTTTTCTTTGTAGGTAAAAAAGAACCCAATCCAAGATAAAAGTTTGATACCAGGAGATGATTTTATTCCCGAGCCCAAAATGGCAGTTTATATTTCTTCACCTCATACAATGAATATAACAATATCCAAAACTTGTCTTAATGTTTTCAGCAATTTAGCAAAAGTACGTTTAGTTCTTATTTGGAATATTTCAAGTAGAATTTAAGATGAAACATGTACTGTATAGATACTTTTATCATGAAAATTAATTTAAAAAATGTGTAGTCATGATAAAGTGTTCAAGAGAAATGTACACTCTGCAAAAATTTCATGATGATGTTATGTTCCTTTTCAGGGTTTTTCAGAGGGTACTGCTTCTACTTTTGACTACTCTTTAAAAGACAGGGCTCCTTTTATGGTCCAAAATGCTGTAGGTGTTCCCATTAAGGTGCAGCCTAATCATGACCTCAGAGTAATGGGCTCCCCGGAGAAAAGCAGTGTGTATCACGTGGGTGCTGGTCAGAATTTGGAATTGGAATATGCCAGTGTGGAGCCTTCCTCTCAAGGGAAGCTGTCTATATTGAACTGCCAGGAAAGCTCCTCCTTCACTCTAACCTTCGGTATGCCACATGTATTTTACTTTAAGAGCATCTTAGGGATTGTTGTGGGCTTATTTTTGATAAAATGTAGAAAATATTTTGCTTCATACGTATTGGGAAAAAACATTTCTAAAGACTTACATTAAATAGTTGATAATTATTTATTTATCATCATCATCATCATCATCATTATTATTATTATTATTTGGTACCGGGGATCGAACTTGGGACCTTGCACTTGCGAGGCAGGTGGCGGAACCACTAAGCTAAATCCCCGGCCCGATACTTGTTTCTTGTTTTCTTCTAAACTTGAAAAGAGTAAGCCTGATTAAGAGGTAGCTTATACGACTGGGTTATTTCCATGCTTAACTAATACATTACATAGTGTGCTTCAAAAGGATGGGAGTTCAGTAAGGAGAGAAAAAAATGTTAGAAGTCCCAAAATATTGGCAGTAATTATTACTCTTACAAAGAAGATTTTTGCTATATAGTTGAGAGAATAAGAAATAAATTGCATTTTGTTTTTGTTTTCATGTATTTAAACTGATTTCCTCAAATTGTCTTGGGTCAACAATTTTGTATCAGTAATTGTTTTTCTCTCTGTTTTAAACTCTGTATTTTAGAAAAGCATTTTGTAGTGATTGTTTCTAGTCAAGAGGAGAAAAATACTTTTGTCTTTATTTTGACATGATAATTATTCTGAAATAGAGAAATATTGATAAACATTTTGGAATTTTTTGCACTTGTACTCTGCCTTAGTACCACATGGATATACAGAAGTTCCCAATGTCCCTGTTGCTAGACCTGGACGGCAGTTGTACAATGTACGGAATCCCAATGCTGATCATTCTGCCTCAGTCCTGGTACAGATCGATGCTACTGAAGGGAATAAAGTCATCACCCTCCGCTCTCCTCTGCAGGTAATTTCTTTAAAGTGAGACATGTCCCTTTCAGATTATCAGTTTAACTCATTTTGGAATATAGTAAAACTGCATTATGTCAGTGATCTGATGTAATTTCTATTCCCTAATTTGCTTTTGTAATATTTTTTATTTTAAATGTTTAATAATTTTTTAAATTTAAAGCCCATATTAGTATCTCTTCTGTTTAAAATTAATGTTTTTTTGCAAATTTCTTTTAAGATTAAGAACTGATGAAAATTGTAATTATAGTTGGTCGTGAAATAAGATAACATCCATTCTCTTTTTGTGTCACTTGGGGCTGTAGTTTTTGAGCGTGTGTCAAGGACTACTGGAATAAACTATGCTGAAAAAATTTTAGCATCTTAGCCTGTATAAATATTTCCTTTTCTACTTCTAAGGCTTTACCAAACATTTTCCTTTTTCCGTGCTTTATTATAGGTTTCAGTGTATGATCAGCAAAATAACATTTCTTCCTATGTATGATATCAGATAAAATGATATCAAATTTTGACCATTTTTATCTCTTAGTGTGTTATTAAATCTAATGTGAATCAAGAAAAGTTACACTATTTTTCTCATTTCTTTTGCTATCCTTTTTTTGTTTGATCATGTGATTCATTGATAAAAGATTGTAATGGAGAGAGTGTGATTAAAATCTTCAGAGAACAATACTTTTGGGAGATAGTGTTATAGAAAGACAATAAGCATTAGCATTTAATATACAGATTATGTGAATATCTGAATTTTAAACTGCTAGTTAAACTTCAGTTTTAATACATAGATGGCCCTTAAATATCCTAAAGTTTTCAATTGGCAGTGGAAATACTTTCTAGTATTGGGTTTGAAACATTTTAGATATAAAAGTGATTGTTACAGTTACCATTTTCTTTTCAACTTATATTTATAAAAGTAATTGTATGTATTTTTGTCCAACAGATCAAAAACCACTTCTCCGTTGCATTTATTATCTATAAATTTGTTAAGAATGTTAAGCTGTTGGAGCGCATTGGAATTGTCAGCCCTGAAGAGGAGTTCCATGTCCCTTTAGATTCATACAGGTGGATTCTTCTTTCAGTATACTAAGTTTTTAAAAATTCACAGTATGTATTTTTACCTTCATGAATTGGAGATCAGTGATCTGGAAAATATAACTTCATAAAATTATTATCTAAAAATATGTAAAAATCATTTTAAAGACAGTTTATTCTGTAGAAAAATAAATTTATGTTACTGAATTTATCAAATAAAAACTATTTTTTGATAGTTTGGACTTTCCTGAAATCTGTATTTATTAGATTGCCTTTATATTTGAAATGAAAATATTTTTAAGTCACCTTTGTTTACAGAGATTTTTGGTTTTTTCCCCTAGAAAGTTCCTCAGTGAGTTAGTTGGGTGACTTTGTGTAAGTTCTTTACCCTTTCCTAGCCCTGGTTTCTCACGTGTAAAAGTGAGAGTAATCGTACCTACTTTGTAGAGTTACCCAAAAGACTTAATGAGATTCTTCTTTTTACATTCTCAGTCAGGTCTTTTTCCCCTCTCTGATTTATTTTTCTGCAGATGTCAGTTGTTTATTCAGCCAGCTGGATTCTTGGAGAATCAGTACAAAGAATCTACCACCTACATCCCCTGGAAGGAGGAGCTGCACAGGAGCAGGGATGTGAGGGGCAGGCTGCAGTGTCCATCAGTGCAGCTCAGCTTCCTGCCCCTCATCGTGAACACTGTCGCTGTGCCAGACGAATTAAGCCACATCAGTGCGCAAGGGGAAGACTGGGACCCGGCGTACATTATTCACCTCTATCCTTCTCTCACTTTGCAGAATCTTCTCCCGTATTCTCTAAGATACTTACTTGAGGTGTGTCTATTATATTTGGTTTGGCTTTCAGTGTTGCTCAAAGTGAATTCTAGTTTGTTTTATGGTATTTTTAGTTGAAATCAGTGTTTTATATAGCATACTTGTAGTGTTGTAATAATGTTAATAAAGGAAAACTTACAGTAGCATCTGCTTTGTGCCAGGCACTGTCCTGTGATTTCACTTGTTTAATCCTGCTGTAGCAGGTGTTGTTAATAAGCCCTCTTTATGATGAGGAAACTGAGTCACGAAGGGGTAAGTGGCTGGCCTGGATCTCACAGCTAGTCATTTGGAGAGCTGGGATTTAAATGTTGGCAGTTTGGCCCCTGATCTCTGCCACTTTTCTCTGTTGCATCTGCCATAAATTTAAGGGCCATAATCATCTCTTTATTAATTAAAATTTCATTATTTACAAAACAGAAGGAAATCTAATGAGAAAATAGTTCATTTTGAAGTTTTTATTTTTGATTGATTGATTGATTGATTATTCTTTTTGAGACAGATTCTGGCTTTGTAGTATAGACTGGCCTTGAACTCACTGTGTAATGCTGGCTGGCCTTGAACTTGTGGTGATCCTCCTGCCTCAGCTTCCCAGTGCTAGGATTGATTACATAAAGTTTTTATTTTAAAGTTAATATTATGATTGTCTAGTCCAAGGTTTTTATTAAAAATAAAAGAATTACTGTCTCAGGCAATAATAAGCAATATTTTCTAGTAGTGACATATGGTAAATATTTTAAAGTTTCTACCTGTTAATGGTATTTTAAGATGCAAAATTCTTAGAAACTGTTTGAAATAGCAGGGCTTGGGGTATGGCTCTGTGGTGGAGAGTTTGGTTAGCATGTATGAGGCCTTTGGCTCAATTCCCAGCATGGTGCAAAAAAAGAAGAAATTGCAGTCTACATTATTATTTTCCTTTACCCAATGATGAGCTATTTCTGAGTTGTGCAGACAAAAATTAATTAAATCAACTAAAATAGTGGATAAAGGAATAGTTTATAAAAAAAAGCCTGTGAAATAAGGTTTTAGTAAGGGAGTGTGATTTTGATATTGCATTATGCATTTAAAAAAGCTTAGATAGCTTATAAGAGTAGCTGGATGCTGTCAGTTTCCTTATTCCACTCACATGGGAACCATTAGGCATGGTATGTGAGTAGTGCAGTAAACTAAAGACCAGGCGGTCAAGTGGCTCAATTAATAACTCTGTGCTAATGAACAGCAGCCAGGGTCTCTCAATGAGTCCAGCCTTTGCTTCTTGGCAGAGATACATTTTTTTTTTCTCAGAACTTCTGGCTGTTGGCCTGTTAATGGCCAAAGACAGTCCCCATCTTTGTGGCTGTGGTGTTTTCTTTTTAGTGCTTAGTAATTACTGGCATTCATAATATATAAACATGGTACTTCTTGGAAGACTTAACAGATAACTTGCCTCTCGTTGGTTATTTAGCACCTGTGTAAAGTACAGATTTTGTATTTCAAAGGTTTTGCTAAGCAGACTTGGTGTGTGTGTTTAGGGAACAGCGGATGCACATGAGCTAGCGGAAGGCAGTGCAGCTGACGTCCTGCATTCCCGAATCAATGGAGAAGTCATGGAATTAGTCCTGGTCAAATACCTGGGCAAAGACTGGAGTGGACATTTCCGCATATGTGATACGCTTCCTGAATTCTTTCTTGTGTGTTTTTCTTCTAACTCCAAAGAAGTAATGACAGTTGACCTGTCGGTACATGTCCGCCGAATTGGCAGCCGAATGGTGCTGTCTGTCTTTAGTCCCTATTGGTTAATCAACAAGACTTCCCGGGTTCTCCAGTATCGTTCCGAAGATGTTCATGTAAAGCATCCAGCTGATTTTAGGGACATTATTTTATTCTCTTTCAAGAAGAAGAACATTTTTAGTAAAAATAAGGTATGTTTTTATTCATAGACTGATTTACAATAGGTGACTTTCTAATCCAGAAACTTGGAAGTTTGAAACCAAGCTTACCTATTTTCCAAGTGCCATTGGTATGAATTAAGTCCAAGGAGACTTCAAGGAATGCAAAATCAAGCAGGGCCCTTAGGAACTAAGACCAACAGGATTCTGAGGCAGAGTAATTTGTTCTCTGGTGCCTGTAGAATTCTTTCTGTTCTTAAAGTTGTGTCGGATAAGACGAGCTTTATTTTGTGTACTTGACCAGTGGTGATATGGTATTTCTAAAGATGCTTATATTAGCTGAGCCCTCCTGTGCATGAAGCATAAGCCAGGCCTTTGAGAAGTCTGATGCCTGAGCCTAGACTTTTGTGTCCTGGTCCTTTCTTTCTTCTTCAGGCTCACTTTGGTTTTCCTCCCTCATGCACACTGGACCACATGCTCCCCGTAGACTTCTATATGTGCTGCACTCTCTGCCTGAATGACCACGTCCCCTTCTCTTTCTTTGTTTTCCTCCTGTTTCCTGGTTCCCTGCTGTTTGTCCTTTAGTATTCTGCTCAGGCCTGGTAAATGTGAAGATTTTCTGTTCATTTAAAATGAGTCTAGACACCCTGTTCTTGTTCTCTAAAGAGTAGTGGATCTCAAATTTTATTTATGTTAGAATCACCTAAAAGTCTTTAAAGCTGTTGCTGTCTTGTCTCTGGAGTTGGGCCCAGTAGGTTTGGGTGGGCCCTGGGAAGCTGCAGTAACAGATATGCCAGTGGTTTGGAGACCACCTTGAGAACTGCTGTCTTAGAGTATTGACTGACACTGATATTGTAAGTACCTGTTTATGTGTCTGCTTAGCCTCAAGTCTTTAATAATCTAGTTGAGTGAATGGTGGTCAGATTCATACAAGGGTATAGATAGCTCCCTTTTATAAGACCTTTTCTAAATGCCAGAGCCAGAAGCAAACTCATCGTTTTCTCACTTTGGAAGCATTTTAACTTCTTGTCTGTCTCGAATCACATCTCGCATCATAATTGTTAGTATGTGTTTGCAGTTCTCTCTGTTTAGTTCACTGCTCACTGAAGACAGGAACTGTGTCCTACTGGTTTTTTTTTTTTCTGCTTCTCACAATACCTTTTATTTAGCACCTGCTGAGTAATGTTAAAGGAGTACATTTTCTGTGTGCTAAAACTACAAAGAACTTGTTAGCTCTATTTCATAGGTCTGATATTGGAGAATGTCATTTTTGCATTACATTTTTAACAAACAAATGGCACAGGGTCTGATTGGTGTACATCTTTAAATTCACTGTACTTATTGATGGGGAATGGAAGGGGGTAGAGCTATGTTTTTGTTGTCCCCTACAATTTTCTGTGGTTCTGTTACATATTTATGTAGCAAATATGGCTGTGATAATATTTTTCTGTACCACATAATACTAAAGAAATTTCTAGCAAGCAGTCTAGCAGTTTTCCATCAGATAAAGTTAATGTTACCTTTTAGGTTTCTTATATTGTGGTATGTGTTCTCCGGCATAGGTACAGTTAAAAATTTCAACTAGTGCCTGGTCCAGTAGTTTCTCATTGGATACTGTGGGAAGTTATGGGTGTGTGAAATGTCCTGCCAACAATATGGAATATCTGGTAAGAATCTGCTGCTTATTTCCCTTTAGCTCCATTCACCTTTTCTGCAATTCAGGAAGCAATGGCTCTTAAAGAGTACAGATATTTTAATTCAAAGTATTGTACATAGGGCTGTCTCTACAAATTTCTGTCACCACTCTTATCAGCAGGACTTGAATTTGTGAAAGTTTAATACAGTGACTTGAATCTACCCAAGTAATAACTTGGTAAATATTCACAGTAAACTAGAGTTTTCATTCCATATCCACCTTGTTATGCATTTCTTAAATCCTAACTTTTACCACTTAGAAAATTTAAATAATCTGGTGCCAATTGACCTGTTTTATTACTACTTTAAAAATTTTATTGATGACAAATACTAAAGCAGCAAAACTGGAGCTTTTCCACTAATTATAAAGCAATTTGTGTTTGGAATATTAAAAAGTGAAGAATGCTAGACAGATTAAATCTGTCAGTGAAAGTTATCACAAATTACTGAATGATACTCTTTTTTTTTTTTTTTTTGGTACTGGAAATCAAACACAGGACCTTGCGCTTGTGAGGCAGGCGGTGGCACCACTGAGGCACCACTGAGCTACATCCCTGGCCCCTGAATGATATTCTTAAACTGGTTTCAGATGGAGCCAGTTTTGTTTTGTTTTTTCTACTAGAAAATAACAGTGGAATATAGCTTATGCCAGTTTATTTAAGAATTCTGATTCTAAAGTATTTTAAGAAATGTGTGTGTGAATGAGGGAGTATGTGTATATTTCAAAGAGATTGGATAAAGTGCTGAAAAGTAAGATTCTTTCCTTTTGACAGGTTGGGGTTAGCATCAACATGAGCAGTTTTAATCTCTCACGGATAGTCACTCTGACTCCCTTCTGCACCATTGCAAACAAGTCCTCGTTGGAACTGGAAGTTGGTGAGATTGCATCTGATGGCTCAGTGCCAACTAATAAATGGAGCTATATTGGTTCTTCAGAGGTAATTTTTTCTTTTAACAGGGCTGATTCCTAAAATAGCCAAAGAAATATATTTTTTAAAATTTTATTACCACATGTTTGCAGTACACAATAATTACATCCATCATGGGAGCTGGTACATATACATAACACATCTTCATTCTTTTTTGCTTGTCCCCTTCTCCTTTCCCTCCTTAGTTCCTGACGTATAAATAAGAATTACATATACTTCTTTGTCTTATACTGAAATGTTTGTGTTAAAATAGGGCAGCCATGGGCCGGGGATTTGGCTCAGTGGTTCCGGCGCCTGCCTTGCAAGTGCAGGGTCCCAAGTTCGATCCCTGGTACCCAAAACAAACAAACAAACAAAAAAAACCCAAATAAAATAGGGCAGCCAGTTTTAAAAGTTTTTTTTCACACTGTAAGCATGTTTTTAAAAAAAAGGAAAGTTGTTGCTCATATTGACCTACCCCTAGCCCAGTCTAGATGGTTAACAGTCATTCTCTGGTTCTCCTGTATGTATAAAATATGCATATGTACTGTGAAAAGCACATAGAGGTAATGTACTACGTATTACCACGATTGTCAGTGTAATGTTTCTCTACTCAAAAAACTGCAGTCTTGTTGGTAAGGCCTAAGATGCATGTATATTAGCACCTGCAGAATAAGTTAATACATGCAGAGTTATAGGTGATTGTAAAATTTCTGAATAAGTGAGCTAGGAATTTTACCTATTTAAAATTGACTAGTAAAGGAACTGGCCTGCTGGTGCTCTGCTTCCTTATCAACTGGGTACTGAGGGGCAAAGCAGAGCTGGATGGCATCTCAGAACTGTCCCCTGGACCTTCGTGACTGATCCCAGCAGCTCCTGTGGCTCATAATTGTCCCTCACAACAGGGTACAGAATGCGGTCTCTCCCTTGCTGGTCCTCAGGATGCTTGACAGCCCACCTTTGCATTGGCCTCTGCAGTGGCTAGACACACTCACACAAACGTTGACTTGGGTTGGTAGCTGAGGCCTAAGATCAGGAGCCTTGCTTGTGAGTGTATGAATGTGAATTTGCGCATGTGTATGCAAAGCAGAGTGTTCTGCCCTGAAGACAGCTCGGGAAAAGGTGAGTCTAGTGTGCTTTGGCAGATGTGCAGGCCCTGGTTCATGCCTGTGCAGCCCAGATTCAGATCGAGCAAGAGGGAGCTCCTTTGTGTCCCCAAGTCTCAGGACTACACTGTAGGCTTACCTGCTGTCTTCACTAGGTTCCAGCTCAATGGGGCATGCTCCTGGTGGCCGTACAAATGTGTGTACTCTCTGTGAGCTAGGCTTTGCATTCTTCTCCTTTGCTCTCAGCATTTAAGTTTGTTGCTGCTTTCTTTTCATTTACCTTTTATTTTTTAAAGCACAACCTTCTATTTAGGTTTCAGTGATCAGAGAAGTATAAAATAAATCAAGTGGTATTGTAAAAAAAAAAAAAGAGAGACTAGTAAAATTCAACCCTCTCACTTTACAGAAAAGGAAACTGAGGTTCAGACTTTCCGGGGTCAGTAAGGTCATTGATAGTTGACTTGATAGATATTGGTTTTCTGTATCAAAAGGTCTGCTTTCAAACTAAACTTTGTAGGCTCCATAATATTTGAGGAAGTGAAGAGAATGAAGGAAAAAAGGAGGAAAAGTGTAAGGATCCACAGTTGTCCTTGACTTTGACCGACTTGTCAACCAAACCAGCTGAGCTTAAGGATAGCTGATGTCATTCTCCCATTCTTCAGTACAGCTCAGAAAAACCTGGATTCTGAAGTTATTTTTTAAAAATACTTAGCAAAAGGCTCAAAAGGAAGGATTCCCACTACAGTACAAAGCTTTAGAGCTCTAAGAAGGCATGATCTTTTCAAGGCACTTAGAATGATCTCTGTGTGCCCTACAAATAAATGCATCTTTTTATCTTTGATAAAGATTTATCAACAGTATTTTTATTTAGATACAAAATTTACCCAATACTCTATAGCAGAAGGACATTTTATATTGTATTAGAAACTAAAATCCTAGTTTCACAGTTAGGGAAATGGAAGCTCAGAGTATGTGGTTTAAGATTGAGCAGCTAGGAAGGTATATTTGGACTTCTGAGCAGGTCCATAGTAGTCTGTTCTCTGCCTTTGGTGCTCATTCTGATTTATTGAGGATAAAATGCTCTATGAATGAATTCTTCATTTAATGATGAAGTAAAAGGTGCTCTGCACAAAAGCGTGTTACTGAGATCTTGTTTTTAAATACTGTATTTGAGACATTTGAGGCATTCTCAGTCCACAGGCTCTTCAGTTTCTCATGCTGTATGTATACCGTAAGTACATATAGATTAATGAACTGTTACACCATGAGCACATATGGGTTATATATCTGTGCTCTTCTAGGGAAGCTTCTTTGATTTTGAACATAGTTATAGTTGAGTAGTATTAATAGGAGATGTAGAGGTTCTGTTTAAAGAAACTCAGTAATAATTTAATCAGTGTCACATTTGGAGTTGAAAACTTACTTAGCTACTGTCTCATTTAAACCACTGTACTGTACGAAGACTGATACTAACTTTTATGTTTTCAGTGCCTTCCATTTTGGCCTGAAAATCTGTCAGGCAAACTTTGTGTGAGAGTAGTGGGTTGTGAAGGATCTTCCAAACCGTTCTTTTATAACCGACAAGATAATGGCACTTTATTGAGCTTAGAAGAACTGGTAAGGTTTTATATTTTAAAATAAATGTCTTTGATTTTTAAAATTGCCTTTAAAATTTTTCTTTAAATCATATAAAAATCTGCTGGTAATTTTCTTGAAGCATTGCTATATCAATATTTAAGGCTGTGATATATTTGGAAGAAATCAGAATTGCTTTGCTTTTCGTTAACAACTTGGAAAACAAAGCTTTTGTGTTTACATTATTGATTGACATCCCATATGTAAATGATATTAAATCAGTACCTCAATTGACTTCTTTCTCCTATAATAGAGTGGCGGTATCTTGGTGGATGTAAACACTGCAGAACACTCAACTGTCATAACCTTTTCTGATTACCACGAGGGGTCTGCACCTGCCCTCCTGATAAACTACACACCATGGGACATCCTCACTTACAAACAGAGGTAGGAGAAAGGGCTTAATAGAAATCCTGTTTGCTTCTGTTGGTCCACAGTCCCTTCTGGGAAACCCTTGAGGCTAACATCCCAAATGTTTCAGATTTTAGAAGGGTGGTTTATTATAGAGCGTGTGGTTTATTACCTAACACTCTTGGTAAGTCTTCAGACAGTGCTCTACAGTCAGAAATGCTAATATTTCTACAGCAACAACTATGAATATTCGCACAGGTGGGATAAATACAAACTATTAATAGTCTCATACATGTTCAAATCAGGTTTTGCTGTCAAATGATTCTTGACAAACTTCTGGAAATACCTTTGGCCTTTTGAAGCTTTTTAAATTTTACAATTGCAGATAAGTAACTGTGAACCTATTTAAGCATTGTCTTTCCTTTGTAGCATGGTAATGCTCAGTGAACTTCTCCCTGTAAATATGTATCTAAAATTGGTTAGGGAAAGTAGAAGGCCAAATGAGAGAACTGTGGTTAGGGAGTGATATTAAATTTATAGGCCAAGTGATAGGAATTTTTTCTTATTCACACATATGTCATTGGATGATGTCATTGTTTAATGGTATAGCAAATAGCTTTAAGCCCTTAAATGTATAATTAATAATTTTATTATAAAATATATGTTTTCTTGAAGATTTCCCCATTCCTAACTCTCATGGTGTTAATCCAGTGAGAGATTTAAAAGTACAGATTAAGGTCAGAACCTACTTCCCTCCCCCCCATTTCTCTGGAGTCTTTTTTTATATGTTACATAGGCTAGTACTTCTTAAAACTTTAATGATCAACTTTCAGATCTCCTTGGAATCTTAGGATTCAGATTCTGATTTAGTAGGTTTGGGGTGGGGTGCCTTTGCATTTGCATTTCTAGCAAACCAGGTAATGATACTGCTGCACAGGTCACACTTTCAGTAGGAATAGTATGAACTCTTTTTTCCTTTTGCTAAGTATTGCATTTGATTAAAAAGAGTAAACCTGAGCCGTGAGTGAGCTACTAAAGATTTTGATATTCACAGCTATTTGTGCAGATGGACACTGATGAGTCAGCTTATTACCTCAGTGAAATCTATTGGTGTGTTTCTTCCTAGATCAATTCAGAGTATACTGCACTCTTGGAAAGGATGTTGTACCCAGTATTCTGTTTCTTTAACCTTCAGTACCATTGCTTATTGGACATTGTAGGATTCTTTATTATGGGCAGAATTGTGTTTTACTAACACAGTCTTCTCAATAAATTACAGGTCCAGGATTTGCAGGGCTAAGACAGTCTAATCTTTTGTCTGTCACTTGTGTTTTAGTGGATCAGGGGAGGAAGTAGTCTTATTGCCAAGACAAGCTCGACTTTTTGCCTGGGCAGATCCTACTGGCATCAGAAAACTTAGCTGGACATATGCAGCAAATCATGGAGAACATGCTCTGTTGAAGGTATGTTTTGATGGGGGCTTGCTGTGTGTGTTGACTTATGGTGAGGGAAGTGGACAGGCTGGTTTCACCGTGTTATCTTGGTCCTTACTGAGCTGAAAGTGAATTGGAGGTATTTTTGGAGTTAAGTTACTCAGACTCCAGATTGCAAATAGTTCATACCAATATTTTACCATCTATGTAGCAAAATGTATTTATAATTGTAAAAATAGCCCTGCTCCATCTTGTCCAAGGCACCAGTAAAACACCTTTTTATCTTTTTTAAATGGAAAGGATTTTAAGGTTAAGTGGAATTCAACTTTATTTGAATATATTCATGCCTCTTTTGCCATTGAGGTTTTTAGGCATGTTTTTCTAAGCAAGGCCATGTTTTTTATTAATCAGATGAGTTTGATAGTATGCAAATTTTCCCATACACAGATTTGTTGAAATGATTATTATAGGTTGATAAATTAATCAAATATGTCATTTCTTGGATTCAAGACTCTAGAAGGGGCCTAAGAATTCACCTGCCCACCTCCCCCTTGAAAGAGAAATTGCTCATGTGTGAGTGATATATGATCCAGTTTCTGCATATATATTTCCCATGATACAGTGTTATAGCCTGTTGTCCCAGGGTGCCGATTGTTAAAAAGGTTTTCTTGGCTTTTGCTTTAAAATGGTAGGTAATTGGCCAACAGTGACTGAATTATCTTCTCCTGTATTCACTCTGAGATACCTGTAAAAGAGAAAGACTTGCTTGACCTTTGGAAAGTGAGATTGATGGCTCTTCTTTTTTAAGGTTCTTGGAATGCCTTTCATGTGGCAGTTTGGTGGGGCTTTCTTGCTGTGCTTGTGCTTTACCTTCACAACAGACACTGTCCAGTTTATGAGTGGAAGAAAGTCGCTTCACAAACGGACACTGTCCAGTTTACGAGTGGAAGAAAGTCGCTTTTGTTGCCTGCTCCTCTTTGCTTCCTGACTCAGACGTCAGGAGCTCTCCCCAGAGTCCCTGCTCTATCTGAGTTTGTCGCCTCTTCATCATATTTGATACTGTTCAGCATCCACAACTCCCAGGCAGTAGCATATGGGCCCCGGAGAGGGAGCGCTAGAGGTGCTGTGGCGGTGAGGGTACTAAGGGCTGCACAGAGGCAGCTCCAGAAAGAATCCAAGCAACAGTGTATGCAGGGCTTTCATTTTTAATGTTTCTTCTCTGTTTTGTGTTAGAGAATCAGGCAAGGGGGAAAGCAGATGATTCTATCTCAGTGTAGTCTGCTAGGTGCTGAAAGCTAACCTGGAAGAAAGGCAGCTGCCCATTGCCTGTCTAATAAGATCATGTGAGAAGGGAGTTCTGTCAGGCCTGAGAGGTCATGACAGGGGAGTCCTGAGAACCTCTCACTATCACTGACAAATAGTGGCTCTCAAAAAATCTTTCCTCAGGGTCGGGGATTTAGTTCCATGGTTCCGCCGCCTGCCCTGCAAGTGCAGGGACCTGAGTTCAATCCTCGGTACCCGCCCCCAAAAAAAGATCTTTCCTCATTTAAGTATAAATTTATAGTAATAAAAACTAAAATGAAACTTTAAAAAATACCAAGAAAATATAAGTCTACATTTAGAGAGTGTTTAGACCTCTAAAAATTTTATTAGGAGAAAAAATTCACAGTATATTCCTGACATCCTACCTGTGTTATAAAGCGCTGCCACCTCTGAAGTGGGTAGAAAGCAGTAGGAAATAGGAAGACAGGCAGAAAACTAAAGTGACAGGGAAGTGTGGAAAGAGTCTGCACATGCTGCATACATGCCAGTGAGTCCTAAATTTTAATGAAAGAAATTATGCAGTCAAGATTGTCTTTCTAAAAAAAGGTATCAATTAGGAGAGCTAAAATCAATGAGGAAGGAATTTTACAACAATTGAGAAAATTAAAATTTAGCTCTTAGAGTGAAAAAGGAAATGAAAGAAAATATATAAAAAGGGACAGAAAATGTTTTTGAGTATCAGGTATTAATGCTTTTCATCTATTATCAGTAATGTTTATGATAGGAACTTAGCACTACTAGTTGGGATTCAAAACCAGCTCTGATTTCACAGTCCATAGATTTCTTTTCCTACTAGACCATACTTAGTGTCAGTAAATAAAAATGGTTTAAATTCTCCTGCTAACAGATAAAAGCATACAGATGATGTTAAAAAATAGTATCTAACACTGTAGCTGGTCATGTTGGTATGTGTGGTCCCAGCTGGGAGGTTGAGGCAGGAAGGTTGCTGAGCCCGAGTTCAGTGCCAGCCTGGGCAACATAGGAAGACCTTGTCTCAAAAAAAGGAAAGGAAAAAAAAGTATATGATACTTACAGATATGTCTTAACTTAAAATTTTAAGCATAAAGAGAAGATAAACAGTCTGGAGATTTAGCTCAGAGGCACTGTGCCCGCCTTGCAAGCACTAGGTCTTGAGTTTGATCCCTGGTACCAGGAAAAAAAAAGACATGATAATTATTGAGTATGCAAGTAGAAGTAAAAAAGAAAGCAAAATTGTTGATTTTAGTTCTGATCAACTATAATTCAAGACACAGGCTTTAAATACATTATGATAATATGACAGAAAGGAATGATAGCAATAAACCTTTATGTAATGAATAACATTGCATTAAAATACAAATGAAACTTGAAATGCTGGAAGTTAAACACAGTTGCCTGGGGACATCTTAACATATATAGTTTAATTTTTTTTTTTTTGGTACCAGGAATCAAACTCAGGACCTTGTGCTTGCGAGACAGGCGGTGACACCACTGTATTGTTTAATTTTTAACAGATCAAATACACAAAGAGTAAATATATTCCAAGAATATTAAAAAAATTGAAATTAAAGACACATAATATTTTGTAGTTTACAAAGAGAACTCATCTTAATAGGTATTTCTGAAAATTTAACTACATATTAGAGTAAAAATGAAATGGAAGGCCAGTTTCACCATATAATATAATATACTTAAAACTAATAATGTATTTGAAACCAGAACAATGAACTTATTCCTGTGCTTCTGGTGAAATCTTTTGTTTTTTCTTTTTGCCCAAGAAAACAGGAGTTGAAAAGGTACATGACAGGTACTTACTTCCTGTTGAAAGGAACTGTTGCGTTTATGTTAAATCCAGATTTAATGCCTGAAAACACTGACCAAACAAATCAGGCTCCTATTTCCAAGTGCTATATGAAACCTTCAGCAAAGAAGGCTAGTTTTTGTTCAGCTTAATGCAAACTGATCACAGTAGTTTGACTGTTTGGCAGTGTGATTTACATAAATATTGTGTTATAAATCATTTAAAACAAAAATAGACTAGAAGGCTAATTTTGCTTGAGGTTACTTTTCTAATAAATTTCTGAAACTTTCTGTTCTCCAACGTGGAGACAAATAAACATCTTTGGACCTTGTCATCACTGCAGCATACTCTTGTTCCTCAGTGCTCTTTGAGCTCTAACCAGGTAACACACACTAAGGTAGGAAAATGATACACTCCTAGTCTTTGTCACTGTTTGAAAAAAAAGTAGTGAGTATGGTTTAACATAAATGATAGCTGTAAGTCAGTTTGTTGCTGAGAGTTTTCCATTTTATAGTCATGCTTTGTAAAGTTTTCTGCTATTTCTCATTTGCTCTTGTTCAATTTTAATAAAAATAATGTGTGGCCCTAATGAAGTCTTTTTTTCCCCCCAGGATGAATGTGGCCAGTTTCCATATGATGCAAACATCCAGATACACTGGGTATCATTCCTAGATGGCCGCCAGAGAGTTCTGCTTTTCACGGATGATGTGGCCTTGGTTTCCAAAGCATTGCAGGCAGAAGAAATGGAGCAGGCTGACCATGAAATAATCTTATCTCTCCACAGCCTTGGGCTCTCACTGGTTAACAATGAAAACAAGCAGGAAGTTTCATACATCGGAATAACCAGGTATGCAAGAAGGAAGATAAGACATGAGACATCTTAAGGCATTCAGTTCTTAATATTAAATATGATGAGAGCAAACCAGTCCTGGTTTGAATTTGATATACTCTAGAATAGTGGTGGTGAACCTGTGGCACACATGTTGTAGTAGACATGCAGAGCCCTCTCTTCAATGATGCCATGAGGTATATGGGTTGTTTTTTCTAAACTAAATCCTCAGTATTTGGAAGAAAAGGTCCAAAGGGGTAGGGGTAGTGGGAGGGGCAGAGAAAAGGAAAGAAGGGAAAGGAAAAAATGATGAGAAATGGAAAAAATGGAAATAAAGTCTGTGTAAATAGGGAAGGGTGGAGGGCGTGAAGGGAGGGCTAGGAATGGGGAAAAAATAAGAACCAAGATGCATTATGTAAAGGTACAATTCCTAATGAGAACTGTAATTGTGTTGTATACCTACAATGTACCAATAAAAATTTAATACAAAAAAATCCTCAGTATTCAGGTTTAATTGCACTGTTGCACTTTGCGATAAATAAGTGGGTTTGGGGTTGCAGTTTGGGCACTCGGTCTCTAAAAGGTTCAGCATCCCTACTCTGTAATCATTCAGTGAAACTTAGTGAAGAATTCTTTGTACTGCTAGTTGATAAGGCCCAAAGATGACTAAGATTTGGGCCCTGCTTTTACAATACTTACTGTCACTTGAGTGGTTTCCTTCTTTCTCTGTTGTTTTTGTGTATTTTTTTAATGTACTAGAAACACTGAGAAATTTTACAAAGAAGATATACATATGTGATGGAGTTATGGAAGTAGAAGTAACTAATTTTGTGTATAGAGAGGTTCTAGAAACTAGCTTGGGTCAGTGGAAGCCAACAAAAGTAAAGTAGAAAACACGTTCATAGAGGATACAGTGTAAGTAGTTATTTAGAACTTTATAATACTTATGGGACTGTTTATTAAGTAATAAATACTTGGCTTTATATTTCAGTATTATATAAATTTTTTAAATTATGAAAATCACTTGTTTAGTCATAGCAAATTTTCTCTTATTTTTTGGTAGATTCTTTTCACATTAATGTTACATATATTCTCATATTTTGTCAGGTTGTCCTTTATAAAGGATATTTGTAAAATTTATTGAAATTACTTTTTTCACCTCATACACTAACATCTAGGTTTCAAAGGAAAGCTGTCATTTATATAATGTTTAAAAATAGATCTTTATTTTATTATTATTATTATTAATATTATTATTTTGGCCTGGGGATTGAACTCAGGACCTTGCACTTGCGATGCAGGTGGTGGAACCACTGAGCTAAATTCCTGGCCCCCCAAAATAGATCTTTATTTGTTTGCAGTTTTAGGTCTAGAGGAAGATTGAATGTAAAGTATAGAATTCTCACACATCTATACCCTCAAGTTTCCTGTTACTAACATCTTGCAAAATTGTAATGCATTTGTTGTTGTTGATGAATGAGTACTGCTAACATTATTATTATCATAAAATAACTGCATAGTTTATTTTGGGGTTCACTCTGAATTATACAGTCTGTGACTTTGACAAATATATAACATGTACCCACCATTATAATATCATATAGAATAGTTTCAGGCCTTAAAAGTCTCTTGTCTTAATCTGTTAATCCCTCCCATCTCTTTTGTGAATTACTGGAAAAGACTGATTTTAGTCATTGTAGTAAATGGCATCTCATTGTTGTTTTAATTTGCAATTCCCTCATAATTAATACTATGGTGCATCTTTTCATATGCTTATTTGCCATTTGAGTACTTTCTTCTGTTAGGGGTCCAGATCTTTCCTCTTTTTAATTTTGTTGTTTTCTTATTTTTTAGTTTTGAGTTATTTATTTTGGATACCAACATTTTATCATTTATGTATTTTACAAATAGTTTCTCCTAGTCTATGACTTTTTAAGAAAATCCTCTAAACAGTGTCTTTCAAAGAGCATTATCAGTTTTTTCTCTTGTGGATTGTGCTTTTGGTATTGTAGCAGAGTAGTCACTTCAGTACTCAGGGTCGCCTAGATTTTTCTCCTTTTATCTTGTAGGAGTTATAATCTTGATTTTTACATTTAAATCCAAGCCAATTTGAATTAATTTTTGTGAACAATAAAAGGTTTGTATCTAGATCCTTTTTTGTTGGATAGGGATGTCCACTTATTTACCATTTGTTGAAAAGACTGTTTTTTCTCTAGTTAGTTTTGTTACTTTAAAAAAATTATTTGGCTGTATTTGTTTGGGTCTGTTACTGGGCTTTCTATTCTTTTCCTTGATCTGGTTGTCTATGACCAAAACCAGATTATCTCAGTTACTGTAGTTTTATAGTAAGCCTTGAAACGGGGTAGTATCATTCTTCTGACTTACTCTGTCCTTCAGTATTGTCTCCTTTTTATCCTTTTGCCTTTCCATATAAATTTTAGAATCAGTTTGTAGCTATCTGCAAAATACTTTGCTGGGATTTTGATTGGGATTGGATTGTAGCTATAGATCAACCTGGAAAGAATTTACATCTTAACAATATTAACTCTTCATGTCCATATGGATGGAATAGCTCTCTATTTAGATCTTGGATTTTTTTTCACCACTTTTACAGTTTTTCTCAAGCAGATTGTGTAGATATTTTATTAATTTGTTTATATCTAAGTATTTTTCAATTTGGTATTAATGTAATGGTATTGTGTTTCTAATACGGAATTCCAATGTTTCATTGCTGACATATGAGAAAGAAATTGACATATATTAAGCTTCTAACTTCCACCCTTTGTTTAATTGCTTGTTAGCTACAGGAAGTTCTATGGGTAGGTTTTTTTGGTTGGTTTGGGGGATTTTCTGTGTAGACAATCACGTCATTTGTGGTGGTAGCTTTATTTCTTCCTTCACAATATTTGTACCTTTTATTTTCTTACTGCATTATCTAGGACTTCAGCGCATTGTTGATGGGAGGAGTGAATGTGGGCATACTTGCCTTGTTCCTGACCTTAGTGGAAAAGCACCTAGTTTATCCTCCTGAAGTATGATGAAGCATGATAGGCTTTGTGTAAATGCTCATTATCAAGCTGAGGAAATTTTCTATTTCTAGTTTGCTAAGAGGTTTTATCATGAAGACTTTTTGGATTTCTATAATTGTAGGGGTTTTTTTTTAGTAACTTCATTAACTCCTAAACACATTATATAGTGAAGATATTTTTATCATTATCATTGACTAATAAGTTATGCAAATTAATAGATATCTATTTTATCATTCTGCAAACAACATTCTCTCATGCAGGGATCAGCATGGTGTGACTTAAAAGCCAAATCTAGTCCACTGCCTGATTTTATGTGGCTTTTGATCTAAGAATTATTTTTTACATGTTTAAAAGGAAAGGAAAAACAAAAGAATATTTTGTAAGACATGACAATTACATGAAATTCAGAGTTTTTTGCTGTAAGTGAAGTTTTTGGGAACACAGGCATGTTCATTCTTTTATGTCTGTGGCTGCTGTTATGATGCTGCTTATTGTGCTTCAAATCTCAGTAAGTGTTGTACCTACTGCTTGCTTTGTTGTACATTTATTTATTTATTTTTTGCTCCCGGCAGTCGAACTCAGGACCTTGAGATTGCAAGGCAAGCGCGGTGTCACTAAGCTAAATCCCCGGCCCATGCACATTTGTTTTTACTACCAATAGTAGTCTTTGAAGGTAACTCTTAGGGCAGAATACAATACAGATTGTCATATCAAATAAAATAGTAAAGATTGTTTTTATTATATAACAACAGTGTAACTGAGCTAAAATAATACAAACTATATTGACCTTTGTGGAAACAAAGCATGTGGTGAAAACAGTCACATGAAACAAGGTCCAGAAAATTTGAAATAGAATGTCTTATTACAGCAGAATTTCTTCACAAAAATGCAAAACCAAAAATGAGGTTGTAACCAAAGTTTCTGAGGGAGTCATTCGTTAACCAAGCAAGGAAAACCTTTTTTTTTTTTTTTTTTTTTGGTAACAGGGATCAAACCCGGGTCCTTGCGCTTGAGCAGCAGGTGGCGAAACCGCTGAGCTAAATCCCTGGCCCCTAGGAAAACCTTTTTACTAATAGAGAGTTAATTGGATCAAGTCTGATAGCAGCAGCTAAAGAAATGTGTCCAGAGAAAATAAAACTGTTTAAAGCCCTTAGACTTCAGCGAGAACAGTTTTATAAAGGACCTTCAGAGCAGCATCAAGAGTCAATTAAAAAGCAAGGACAATGGTATTGAGTGTGAGTTTGCAGTTTTCCTAAGCTCCTGATACATCAACAGATGTTCTCAGTATTGCTCAGTTATAGATTTGAGAATTCAGTGTTGAATTTGAAGTAACTGAAGAATTAGCTTCTGTCAATAGTCAGCATAGAAAAACTATTGGTAAGAATATCTTCAAACAGGTTGAAATAGAATTCAGCATTACTGAGGAGGTCTTTTCTAGATATATTACAACCAATTATAGGGGAAAGATGGGAGCAGAAAAAGACTTAGTTGAAAAATATTGAGAAGGCTTTAAAAATGTGAAGCCTTTAAAGCCTGTGTTCTTCAGGCGTTTCTGTCAGTAGATGCTCTCTGGAAAGTGTTTGAATTGGCCCTTTCTTGTCAAACCAGTGCTGTCCAACAGTGAGCTTCATTCAGTCTCGGGTTAGCTCTCATCAGATCTGGGTATGTTAGAGATAGAAGCAAAATCTCCTCATTTGTCTTAATAAATGTGATGGTGTAGCATTCGTAACTGTAGTGTCCTCCTCTTCCATTCTGGGCCAAGATGAACATTTTCTGAACAGGAAGAGCCACCCTTAACACTGAACGACTTTGGAAATTATTTTTGCTAAAGACCTGGTAATATTTTCAGCCTAAAATTAGAAAGCTGAACAGTGCTATATGCAAAATTTATATTGTGGTAAGCTCATTTTAAAGACAACTTTTGTTTGAATAACAGGTAATGTCAAGCTGTTTTATGTACTTCCTGTGCTGTCCAAAGTTAAGACAGGAAGCAAGATATCCAACCCTCTAAATACTTGGAGAGGATATATTTTATGACTTGCATCTTTACTTCCAGCAACATTTTTTCTGACCTCATTGCAAATACCTAGGAAATTTCCTCGTTTTAATAATTCATTTGGGCAAATGAGGAATTTACACCTAATCTGCAGTGTATTAATAGGCTAAAAGGCAAATGTCAAGAAAAGAACTCAGTAAGGTTTTATGAATGTCTTCTAAGTAATATATTAACATAATTAAAAGATAATTAAAATAGTCACAATAATATGTTTATAGATCACTGTCGCTGTTTTTCAGTACTATTTCCAAAGTGCCATTTCTATAGAAGCTTATTACATATTGTCATTAATAGATGAACACCTGCAATAGATTTTGATAAGGAATGCTAAATTAGGTAAAAGGTCACTCCCACAAAAGAATATTTTTCTCAGTAGTAGACCCTTGTTTTTAGAAATTATACTCAATTATTATTTTTATATTTTAAATTTCATCAATTAAAAATGTATGGAATTCTCTAGATATCTGACTACATCATAATCCTGTTTTTTGTCTACCTTTTGCCACACAGGCGGTGTTGGATATTGTAAAAATCTTTTGTATCAATTTACTTTGCATAGGAAATTGGTATTTGTACTAATCTGGAGTTGAATAACAGTTCCACAAACTTAAATCTGTGTTTCTAATTTGGTTTTCTTTGTGAATTATTTTAGTTCTGGTGTTGTTTGGGAAATGAAACCAAAACAGAAATGGAAGCCTTTTAGTCAAAAGCAGATACTCCTACTGGAACAGTCCTATCAGAAATATCAGGGCTCCCGAGACCGTGGCTGGATAAAGCTAGAGAATAATTTTGAGGTAACCCCCCAGTTTTCTACTTTGTGTGTTATAGGTTTGTAGTTTTATAGGTGTATTTTGTTGTTATTGGTAGTGGGACTGAGTAGTTTTACTGTCCAATATGTGTAGAAATTGGTATATATATATTAGTAAATAAACTCTTATTTATTAGTGTTAGTATATAATTAAAATACTGTATAATGTTAATATAATCATATAGTATGAAGACTGATTTAAATGTTTCTTTTCTGTATCTTTGTAACTTGTTCTGTTTACAAATCAGTTTTGTGAAACTTCATAAGATTATGCTGCAATTATGGTGGTTTATTGAAAATTTTACTCTTACATTTTGAATACCTGTATCTTACTAAATAACGACAATTGTATTAATTACTTCATTGATGAAAAACCTACAAAACCATGCTCAATTAAATTCATTAAATTTGAATGATTGTTGGATGCGGGTAGGCACTCATAAATAAAGATGTGGGGCCGGGGATTTAGCTCAGTGGTTTCGCTGCCTGCTGCACAAGCACAAGGACCCAGGTTTGATCCCTGGTACCCAAAAAAACAAAAAACATAAGTAAAGATGTGCTCTCAATGACCTTTGACCTTCCAGAGCAAAAACTAAAAGTCATGTTTGGCTGCAAGAAGATTCTGGAAACTTGAGCTGACTCCAGCTTGCTCTCATCATATTGTGTACTTTGGCCATTCTTTGTCTTTGGTGTCTGGGAGCTGAATCTGGACTGGTCACCAGCTGTGTGTGTCCATCTGTGTGTCTGTCTGTGTGTGTGCCCCCCTCCCCCCATCAGTGCTGGCTGTGCTTAAATGGTGGTTGGGGGTGGGAGTGCTGTTACCAGTAGTGTCAGGCATAAACAAACTATCTAACTATACATTGAAAAATAGAGTTCATTAAGAATTATCTAGAACTATTCATTACTATTAAAGTTTCTTTATATAAAGCGTTTTTTTTAAAGTACAGATTCTGTAATCAAAAACCTTTAGAATTCTTGTTTTCCTAGTAACTTTGTTAGAAAAGTGATTCTGCTTCAGAGATCTGAGTTGTTGATGACCTTAAGATCTTTTGATGAGACACAGCAGTAAAGATATTCTTCTCATTTGGTTTCATCAATACACAGATACCTAAAATGGGATACTCGGCTAATACCAGCTCATCATCAAAAATGTGCTTTTTTCCAGGTCAATTTTGATAAAGTTCCCATGGAAATGCGTCTTCCTATTCGGTGCCCTATTAAACGAGATTTTCTATCAGGAATTCAGGTTGAATTTAAGCAGTCTCCTCATCAGAGGAGTTTAAGGGCCAGGTTGTACTGGCTACAGGTAATATTATCATCCTCATTTAAATAAATATTTCTAATCACTTTGATAATCTTGAGAATGAAACTTCTCTTTTTATGTTAAAGCTGCTATCTTTTGTGGAGCTAAGAGTGTATTTCAGTGGTTGAGCACATGAGGCCCCAGGCTCAATCCTCAGCACCAAAAAAATAAAAAAAAGAAATTGGCATCTCCTATTTTGTTTGTATGCTTTTTCTACTTCTCTCATATATCCTGTGAATTTACATCTCCCTTCCATCTGCATTCAAAGACCATGTGACTCTTGAAACTGTTGAATTGGCCCAGTTAACCTGCAAGGGTGCTTTCTTACACCGGGAGGACATTACTTTTAAATGTACCTTTACATCTGTAATGGGACTCCCAAATGGGATATTCTCTTGTTGTTCTGCATAGGAGCCTTATTGGAGGTTGCTTTTGGATAGTTGATCATTTTCTCCCTCTCAGCCACCCCCCCCCCCGTTTTCCTCCCTTTTAACTGTTAAGTTGTTATTTAAGACATTTTCATTTTTTTCTTCTTTATTCTGGATACGCTAATTTCATAGTTACTTGCATTTTATTTAAGCTGTAGACAGTAGAAATCTCACAGGATCGATAGGTTCAAATATTTGCACTAACAGTGTATGTGGTAATGCAGTTATGGAGGAATTTGTATATTTTATATATAGGCTTGCCCCTGCTGAGGTATGTAAGAAGTTTTAGAGGTTTTAAAGTACCACATGTACAAGCAGATTCTCAGTTATGATGACAGTAGCAGCTGCTCCTGTAATCCTGTCTCTGACACTACAAGTTAATTCAAACCTAAGTTGGTTGTCTTTTCTTTCAGGTTGATAATCAGTTACCAGGCACAATGTTTCCTGTTGTATTTCATCCTGTGGCTCCTCCAAAGTCCATTGCTTTGGATTCAGGTAAAAAGAGAAATATAGACACACCTTGTTCATAAAAGTTAAGAAGACATTAGTTTATCTTGTATAAAGCTTAGTTTTTTTCTGCTGTGGTTTTCCTTTTAGAGCCAAAACCTTTCATTGATGTGAGTGTCATCACAAGATTTAATGAGTACAGTAAAGTCCTACAGTTCAAGTAAGTAAAGATCTTCACTGTTTTTTTATCTAATGGAGTCTAAAAATGAGAATTTATTTTGAAAATAAATTTTGTTCTTTTTGAAAGTGATTTCTGTGTATAGTTATTTTCCAGTTGGACATATTAATCCATTTTTGGTCAAGGAATTGTTACCCTTAACTTATTTTCATTATAGTTTATACATATTTTAAAATGTAGAATTCCATCAATCACCTTCATTTTATAACTCCAATTAGAATATAAAATAATGAAGTACCAGTGATATGTGTATTTATAAGCTGTGTTCTTTAAAGCAGTTGCTGTAAACTTTAAAAATCAAATGATACATGCTGTATCTTCTATTTTTTTGGTACCAGGGATTGAACTCAGGTCCTTGTGCTTGCGAGGCAGGCGGTGGCACCACTGAGCTAAATCCCTGGCCCTCTTCTAATTTTGTTTATCTCTACTGTGAAGTTTTTAGGTGCTGAGTGTTAATACAGTAGTATTAACCCAAAATGCAACTTTCACTGTAATGAAAATTCTCAGTCTAAGTAGGGTTTGACCTTCTTAAAGTAATTTTTAACAGATAAAGAGGGGCCGGGGATTTAGCTCAGTGGTTCCGCTGCCTGTCTTGCAAGCACAAGGTCCCGAGTTCTATCTCTGGTAAACCCCCCCCCCCAAAAAAAAGATAAAGAAACAATATCATACTGTGCCTTTTGACCAAATTGTACTTTGAAAGTTACCAAGTTTGATTGAAACCCTGTTCCATTTCAGAAATTTTTTTTTTTTTCCTATAGGTATTTCATGGTCCTGATTCAGGAAATGGCCTTAAAAGTTGATCAGGGGTTTCTTGGAGCTGTTGTTGCACTGTTTACCCCAATAACTGACCCTGATGCTGAAAGCAAACGGGTAACAGTTTTTATTCCTAGGGAAAACTTTTAATGGAATGTTTAAGTCAGCTATTTATAGAGATGATTGTAATATAGAAAAAAATTAAAAGAAACTTTTGATTTAATTCTTTTCAGACAAAGTTAATCCAACAAGATATTGATGGTCTAAACACAGAATTAATGGAGACTTCAATGACTGATATGTCAATTCTCAGTTTCTTTGAACATTTTCATATTTCTCCTATTAAGGTTTGTTATTATTTTGAAATGTTATTGTAATTGTTTTAGGACTTCAAAGGATCTGTGTACAAGTATAGTTTTTAATCTGTTACATCAAGTATTTGGTGGGAACTGTCTTTGATTAATGGTAATAATTAAGACAGTTCTCTGTAACAGATGTACAGTCATAATTCCCACAGAGAAACCACTAGAGCATGTTCTCTAGTCTTGAATTAATAACCCTTTACTCAAGAAGCTGACAAAGGCATTTCTTAATTAAGTGTAGAAGTGCTCACCAACATCTAATGTTTTGGTTGCACTTTGTAACTACTATCACTGTCTAAACAGAAAGCTATAATGGTTGCCCTAACCAGAATGTGAAAGCGCTGAAGTTGGTAGTATACTGTTGATGTGAGGTTTCTCCCCCTTCCAAAATTTGATTGTAACCGAGAGAGTGGAAAATTGGATCCCTTTCACTTGCCTGAATTTGTACTTTATGAACCCATTTCCCTTTCCCCCTTTTGTTCTTTTTAGCTTTTACAGGGAAAGATGACTACTTAGTAAATTTAGAAATCCTATCAACCATAATGCTCTAAACTTGTGTAATGGGCCGGATTTACAATTAAGAAACTCTGTAAAATATTGATGATCCTTTACATTCTCAAAAACTGTTTACAACATTTTATTTTCAGTTGTATTCATTGAGCTTAAATGAATGGTTTTATAAAATAGGATTATTATTTTATACTGATTAATTTGGTATTAGACACATGCATAATAGCAGGTTTAAAATTGGCATTGTTTTTTGTGATAGGTTATACAGTTTCTTTCTCATTAGTAAGTAGAAATCATTTATGGGATTAAATAATAACCTTCAACAAAAATTTGTTGAATGCTTATTATCCAAATTGCTATTTAGATATGAAATGACTTCATGAAATTTACAAACTGAGGAATATTAGAAGATTGATAAATTTACAATCTGGGGAGTATTAGAAGATTGATAAATTTGCCTATTCATGTTCTTGAACTCAGTGGGAATTATGCCATGAAGTAGGGTAATGAAGACTTTGAACCACAATTATTTTTATAATCCATGTTGACTGCCTTAGGGGAGAGGTAGAGTCTAACACTGGATCCCAACACTTAACTGACTGCACAAGGGTGGACACTACAGTAAAGAAAAACAAAATAAAACATAAAAATGGGCTTTCTTGGCCTTGTGTCAAGTCCACTTTACCTGAGCTCTAGACAGGTCAGGTAAAATGTCCGTGGAGTACAGAAGGAGAAAGGAGAGTCATCTATCTGCTTTATTTACATGTGTTGAATTACCTTTTGCCTGTGTCTTCCTACTCTATTGCACTAATATTGCTGTTGGATAAAATGGAAGCCAGTTAGGAAGGTGAAAAATCTCCTGTTTAAGTATCAAGTTGAAGGCCCTGTGGAGATTGAAAACATTATAACTCTTTCAGATACTTGTTTGGCAACTTGCTAATTGTTCCATAATTGTCATGCCATTGCTAATTATTTTTATGGTATAACTATAACATAATTGTTACCGTTAATTGTTGCCATGAGTTATGTACCTTAATTGGATGAAAATAAATACTTTGGTATTTTGGCTGGCAGACTGTGTGCCAGTTGACGTTTTCTTCTTAAAATAATTATCCCATTTTTGTAAAGAGTTTTTGCTTTATCCAGTTTCCAGTCGATGGGTACTTGGGCTGTTTCCAAGTTTCAGCTATTACAAACTGTGCTGCTATAAACATAGGTGCACATATATCGCTGTCGTATGATTCTTTTCATTCTTTGGGGAAGATTCCCAGTAGGGGAATAGCTGGGTCAAATGAGACCTTTAGTCCTAGTTCTTTGAGGTATCTCCATACTGATTTCCGTAGTGGTGGTTTTTCTATAAAATGGAGTACTACTCAGCGATAAAGAATAAGAAACTAGAGACATTTATAGCTAAATGGATGCATATTGAGGACATACTCTTAAGTGAAATAAATAGGACACACGTGTGTAAATACCGAATAGTTTCTCTGGTGTGAGAAACTGAAAGTGTAAATAAGGACTAAAATGATTAAAATGAATAATTGATAATTTGAAATAGGAAGAAAAGGTCCAAAGGTGTAGGGGTGGTGGGAGGGGAAGGGGAAAGGGAAGAAGGGAAAGGAAAAATTATGAGAAAGAAAAAAAAATGGAATCAAACTCTGTGTAAATAGGGAAGGGTGGAGGGGGTAAAGGGTGCACAGGTAATGGGAGAAAAAAGAAAAACTAAGATACATCATGTTCTGGTACAAACACCCAATGATAAATGTAAATGTATTTTGTACCTAAAATGTACCAATAAATATATATATAAATTAAAAAAAAGTTTTTGCTTCCTTCATGGTAACACAATGATATTTATATACCTGGAATGAAAATACAGCTCTGTTTTTGAGTCAGACCATTTGTATTTTATCAAAAAATAAATGATTACAGATATAAGTGGATTGTTCTCTATATTGTGTGCAGGAAAGATACACGCGGTTGTATTGGAAGATCTGGTTCCTATTATGTAAATTTTTTGTTTTTCACTTTCGTTTATTGAATGTTACATCTCTTTTAGTTGCATTTGAGTCTGTCTTTGAGTTCTGGAGATGAAGAATCAGAGAAACAGGAAATGATTGCAATTCATTCTGTCAACCTGCTACTGAAAAGCATAGGTGCCACTCTGACCGATGTGGATGATCTTATATTCAAGTAAGGCTTCTGTTTCAGTACATTGGAAGGCATTTATACCAAGATCGGGCTTCTCCATATTAATTTTTCCATTTGTCTAATATTAGCTTAGGAAATTGATAACTTTACTACTTGAAGAGTTTGGTCCATTTCTGATTATAGTCTGTAGATATGTTATTTTATTGATAATAACAAGGGTGAAGAGTCTTCTATTTTCTTTGATTACCCATATCTACATAATATGAGTATAGAATAAAAATTTAATGATTTTAGTATGGTCTGTGAATGAATTGGCCATTTAAAATAGAACGGTATTTAGAAATATATAGCAGTGGGATGAGATTTCAGTGTAACCATACAATGAAGCAAAGAAAGAAGAACTACTTGCCACCTTTAATATGAGGATATTTATGTATGCCAGATACATATAAACTTAATAACTGTTTATGGCACTGCATATTCAGCAGTGGTATTGAAACAAGGAATTAGCTGGGAGAAAATTCTTTTGGATTATTTCTATCTCACATATGCACTACTAAATTTCATAGGAAACAAAGGATAAAATACTGAGTAAAATTCAAACTGAAAAGACTTGAAAAATAGTTAATTGTTAGCAGATCTGTGGAGTAGAAGAAATCTGAACTTAAAAGCAATGAGAAAAATCTCAGTGGAAAATACAAAATAGATTGGACTACATAAAAATTAAACATTTCATAGTAAAATCAGTGAAGATTGAAACAAAAGCTGGGGAAACATGACAGATACGATGTAGAGATGATTAATAGTCTTAATATTAACCATTGAAAAGAAAACCCTAAAAATTACAGTGGTGTAATAGTGAGTGGACAATAAGAGGTAACTCACAAAAAGGAAAGATAAAGTAACTGGTCAGTACTTGAAATGTCTAATTTTATTATTTATCAAAGGTACAAGCAAGTTAGTACAAGTTATCACAAATTTTAAAATTTGAGTGATTGTAGTAGTACATGGGGTAGGCCTAAGAAATGGACATTTTTTGTATGCTATCAGTGTAAGTGGAAAGCTATGCATATATCAAAAGTCTGTTTCTGTGGTCTCTCATTCCATAATTCTGTTTTGGGAGTTTAGTCCAAAAAACAATCTTGAAGAGCAACCAGTGAGTTATAGTCAACATACGTGTGGCAACCTTAATTATTATACAAAATTGGACTTGTTTGGAAGAGTCGATCATTTTAATACTGTCATATGGAATGCCAGTGGAATGCCATGTGCCTATTCGAAGTGATTTCATGGAATTTTGAGTAAAGATAAAGAGAAATATTTATCCACAACGCTTGAATGTAAACATGGCACATAAGATATTTTAAATACTTTATAATTATATAGAAAAGAATTAAAAGTGGGAAATGAAGAGAAAACTTGAAAAAATCTAGAGTGTTGAGACTGTAGTTGACTTTTAAAAATTGTTTACTCATTCATGTATTTATCATAAACTTACATGAGAATGCTGTTTTTATAATTTATAATAATTTACCATAATATTAAGATTTCAGCCATAAATTGTGTCAGTACAAAGTTAAGAATGAAAGAATTAACTGTGACTAGAATTAGCTATTACTGAAATTTTAAGACCTTTTTTCCCCAGAATATAATCATAGTATCTTGAAATTTTCCTTTTTCTCCTCCCAGACTTGCTTATTATGAAATACAATACCAATTTTACAAGAGAGATCAGCTCGTATGGAGTGTTGTTAGGCACTACAGTGAACAGGTAATTTCTTATCAGAGTAGCTTGTAAGGAATATACTTAATAAAATATCAAAATAAAACATTTACATGTGACTTATAAATGTGGTAATGTTTACATAATTTACTTGAATTTATAATCTCATTACTTAATGGTTTTCTTAAATGATTAATTTCTGTTCTTTAGTTCTACCACCATTACACATGTTTTAAAATTTTCCTCCTGTGCCTTTTTCCCTTTGTAATTATTACCACTTTGGGAAAGAATAGTGATTTTGGCATCATTACTCTTGGGTTCGGAGACTGTTGTTTGTAAACATAGTGTAGTGGAATTGCAAGAGAAATTGTGGACTAGTTTCCTCCCTGCACATCTGTTAGCCTGTGGGTCTATAGGTGTGCAGCTCCTCGGGTGCTATTGCTGTACCCTGAGACTACAAGTGGTTTCCTCTTTCCATCTCCTGCTGAAAGATCTTTTCTCCTGTAGTATGTTTAGGTATTATGGTAATTACATGTTCAAATGAGGATATAATTCCTCTTATTTTTTGCTTTAGTTTCTAATTATTTTCCATGTAGTTTAAAAGTAATACTGATGGTAAGGTAAAAATAACAACAACCATTAATGAATTCTGTGTCCATTTAATAGGTATGCTCACCCATGCAAGGTTGATGTAGCTTCCCATTTTATAGATGAGGAGGCTGAGGCTGAGAAGAGACTGCGTGATTTGTCCAAAGCCTCGTAGCTGCTAAAGGACCAGACTGTACCTCAAACTTAGTTCTAATTTGAAAGCCATGCTAGTATAGCACCTGGTACGCAGTGAAAGATCAGTTAATGGATGTGGTGGTAGTTATTTCACATAGTTTTTCTTTACCCTAAGCTTAATCTGTAATACCCTCCCCACTACTGTATCGTGATGCTGTTTCTTTGAACAGCTGCAAAAGGACTCAGTTTACCTTTTGTCTTCCTTAGTTCTTGAAACAGATGTATGTCCTTGTGTTGGGCTTAGATGTTCTTGGAAACCCGTTTGGATTAATTAGAGGTCTGTCTGAAGGAGTTGAAGCATTTTTCTATGAACCCTTCCAGGTATTGATTTTTTAGAAAAATTTAAGTATGGGTATAAAAATTTTTTAATGACTAATTTTTATTTTAATTATGTCTAGGAACTGAATAATATTTACATAATCAATTTTACTTATTTATTTAAAAGTACTTAAGATGGCATTGAAAGCTTTAGAATTAAATGAGCATTTGTAGTGCTATCTGGACAATGAAACATGCCCATGCTCTTGGATTTAATGTAGGTATTAGAATATTTAGAATGCCAAGTGGATTAAAGATTATTTTGAGGCTGTTGCACCACTGTAGGAAGGACTAATGGGACATTAAAAACCAACTTACTTTCGTATTCAAGCATTCCTCTCATTTGTCCAGCTCTCTTTAAAGAAACCGGGAGCCCAGTGTAGGGAGGGTTTTGGAAGGATGAAGCAGTATGTGGGAGAACAAGAGAGCCAAAAATACATGGACTCAGTTGGTCCTGTTAGCAGCGCAGCTGGCTTCTGTAGTCTGATACAGCTTTATGCTGTGAGGCTGACTTTACATGAAAGCCAGTGATTTATGTCTGTCTAGTTTCTGTCGCAGAAATTTCTCAGGTCCTGTAGATAGAAAATATCTTTGATCAAAGCGAATGTTCTGTTAATACTTGGGATATAAGATAAAAATTACTTTATGTTAGTCTTTATGGATCTCTACACACTCATTGTATTCATGAAAACCCTGAAATTTTAAAAGTCTTAAACATAACTAAATTTTAAATAGTGAACTTCCTTTGGGCCAGGGTGCTGTTCAAGGTCCTGAAGAATTTGCTGAGGGATTAGTGATTGGAGTAAGAAGTCTCTTTGGACATACAGTAGGTATGTATACCAATTTAAGTATGTTTATTTTATTAATATAGAATATATTGTTCATGAAAAATTATATTTAATAAGTGGGATCATTTAATCTCTTTTAGAAGACATGTTTTCATTTTTTAAAATGGAAAATAATTTAATATTGGCCTGCTAGTTCTTAAATGTGTCTTTGTATTCGTGAGTCAGTGTAGCTTAAATACTGATAGATGGCAAAAAAAATTCATTTTTGTGTGAGACAGAATTGTTAGTTTAAAGCAGTTGCATGCTGTGCGTCATGAGGATGCCTTCCATGGGACCGGCTTGACTTCCTCCCCTGGGCTTTTGGCAGGTGGTGCGGCAGGAGTTGTATCTCGAATCACTGGTTCTGTTGGGAAAGGTTTGGCAGCAATTACAATGGACAAAGAATATCAGCAAAAGAGACGAGAAGAGATGGGCCGACAGCCTAAAGATTTTGGAGATAGCCTGGCCAGAGGAGGAAAGGGCTTCCTGCTAGTAAGTCTCCTGCTCCATCTTCAAGAAACCTTCATCTTTATATGTACACTTGGAAGTATGCGGTCTAGATGCTGTTGGAAACTCCGGTGTCTAGGTCTGTCCAAGAAGCAGTAGGGATAATTTGTGGCCTTGATGGTTTTCTTTTTGTTCTCCTCATTCCTCATACTCCCCCTAAAGAGCTACCCTCAAACACCAGACATAATTTTTCAGTTGAGCGGGAGTGAAACCAGAATGGTGGTACTTGAGCACCAGGGTGGTAAAGAGGCTCCCTGAGGGAGGTGGAGCTCTTCAGGGCATCTTCAGCCACCCATTTCCTTGGAAGGAGTGTGTGGAAGTTAAGTGTGACAAAGTGCAAACTGCCTTTCCCTACTTTTCAGTAACTTTAAATGTATGTGGGCAACATTTGAGTACTGCTTAATTATACAGGTCCTGTTTGAATGTTCCCCTTATAAATAATTATAAGAACGTATACATTCTTTTAATAGGCAATTGAAACAATACAGGCAAGGCTAGAATACTCTGATCACTCCTTGCCTCTTTCCAGAAATAGCTAATCTTTTCAGTTTAGTGTGTTCTTCATCCCATCTTTGTCCTTTTGACATAGAGACATATAGAATATGGTGGTAACTTTACGCTCCTGTTTTTGACAGTTACTAAGAATGTGTACCTACATAATGTTTTAATTTTGAGAATAATTTCAGAAAACTGCAACTGCTGTTTGAGCCAGTGATTTTTAAAAACTGTGTCTTACATTCTCTGAAATGCTGTATTTGTCAGGTTATTTGCTGTCCTTGAGAGTTTCCTTTATTTTTAGTTTTGTACACTTCCGTTAAATTAAACAGTAATCTAATTAAGATGTATAATTAGATCTTAGATCATTTCACTCAACTAAGTTTTATTGATGTGGAAACTGACGCTTACAGAGATTGAATCAGTTGTCCATGCTCATACAGCTGACAGGTAACAGAGCCAGATTTAGGATCTTTTATCTGTTCTGCTTCTCCTTCTTCTGTAACCTTTTACTTCTGTGGGATGTTTTCATTTAAAAATTTCTGTGATTTAATATATTAAAAATCATAATGTATGCACACGTTTACATTACCAAGAGGGTCTTCAGTCTTTTAAAATTTTTAATTGTTTCTAGTATGTTTGTAGCGACCTCTAGTGGTTAGTTTAAAATTAAGCAACTTCTCTCCTGGGAGTCTTTATGATTGATTTCTCTCTTTCAGGGAGTTGTTGATGGAATGACTGGAATAATAAAAAAACCTGTGGAAGGTAGGTTGAGAATATTTCCATCCAGTATAAAAAATCTGAAGAGTAGATGCTTGATAAACATAATAGACGTGGTTGCTACAAAATATTTGAGAAAACTACTAAATTTTATATTCATAGCCTTAAATTGTTTAGTGTATCTGCCTCAGAAAGCCGAGACAGTAAATAGAGACTATAATTCAGACTTTGAATGCTGTTTTCATCAGGACCATCAGCAAACTAGATTTTTTGAGATCCTCGCTGGTAATTGACTTGGGGTTTTTTGTGTTTTCTTTTTTATAGTCTCATTTAAAGGTACATGTTCTTCAATGCAATCTGTCAAAATCCCAGTTGGCTCTTTTGCAGGAGTTGACAAGTTGAATCTGAAATTTAGATGTAAATTCAAGAGTCCCAAAATAGCTGAAACAGTTGAAAAAAGAAGAGCAAATTTGGAAGACTTACACTTCCTAATTTTAACACTTGTTACAGTATAACGCTGTAGTAAGAATAGACATATAGATCAGTGGGATGTAACTGACAGTTGACAGTCCAGAAATAAACCCTTACAGTTATGGTCGATTGATGCTGGCAAGAGTGCCAAGATAAATCTATAAGGAAAGCATAGTCTTTTCAGCAGATGGTGCTGAGACGACTGGATATCCACATGTGAAGAAGAATAAAATTGGACCCTTACCTACACTGTAGTATATAAAAATGACCTCAGAATAGGCTAAATACCTGACTAAACATAAGAGCAAAAGTGTAGAACTCAGAAGGAAATACAGGAGCGAATCTCCATTACTTTGGTTTAGGCTTAGGCTTTGTAGATGTGACACCAAAAGCACAGGTTAAAAAAAGAAAAAGATAGATTATACTGCATCAGAATTTAAAAATTTTATGCCTTGACACCATCAAGAAAGGGAAATGACAGTCCACAGAATGGGAGAAAATTTTTATAAATTATTTATTTGATAAAAGACTTGTATGTTGAATATATAAAGAACTCTTACAACTCTCAATTTAAATGGGCAAAGAATATGGATAGACATTTCTCCAAATGAGATATATGAGATGTGATTGAAATATATGATGGATGTTTAAGTTTTTAAAAATTAGTGTAATAAAAGACATTGCCGTTATTTCCCCTCAGAATATTCCCTTTGCTTCAAACACACTTACCTGTTGCTCTTGCCACTTCTGAAGCAGTTCTGGAACTTCTCTTTGGTGTACTTACAAGGTGTGGTAAAAATACAGTGACTGCTGCAGCTGAGTCCCATCCAGTGGGAGGGCATGCTTTAGAAACATCACTGTGTCCTCATCCATTTTATTTACTGGATCTGGCACCATGCCACCTTGGGCTCTTTCCCAAAGTTAAAGTAGCCGTTAAAGGTAAGTGTTTTGAATCAATTCAGAACACTGAGGCAGCCACAACAGTGCAACTAAAGACACTCATGAAAGAGGACTTCCAGAACTGCTTCAGGAAGTGGCAAGAATGATGGGAAGAGTGTGCTTAGAGGAGGGAGAAGTATTTTGAGGGAGATTATTGGCAATGTGTCTTTTCCTGTACTATAAATATTTTTTCAAATTTAAACTTTCACCACATTTTTTTGATCAGTTGTACAAATGGCTAACAGGCACATCTAATTAGTCGTCAGAGAAGTGTACGTCAATCACAGTAAAAAAGGTACCACTTTACATCTGTTAAGATGGCTAAATCAAGACATTGTGGAAAATTGGAGACCTCGTGCATTGCTGATAGGATTGTAAAGTAGTACAACTCCTGTGGAGGAAGAATCTGACTGCTTCCAAAGGCTTAGAGTGAACTGTCGTATGAGTCTTCTGTTCTGGTCTAAGGTATTCACCCAAGAGAGTTGAAAAGAAATGTTCCAACAAAACTTTTATCATAGCAGCATATTCACTGTAGCCAAAAGGACCTAACTATCTTTCACCTGTTGCATGAGTAATTGAAATATGGCATATCTGTACAATGGAATATTATCACGCCATGAAAAGAAATCAAACATTAGTGCATGCTACAAGATGGATGAACCATGAAAACATGGTGTGGATTGGAGATAGCCAGTCACACTAGACCATAGACTGAGTAATTCTGTTTATGTGAAATGTTCCAAATAGGCAAATCTGGTGAAATAGAAAGTATCTCTAGGTGGGTGCCAGGGTCTGGAGAGGGAGTGGGTAGATCAGATGAGGAAGAGTTGGGCAAAGAGTGAGGGCTTTCTAATGAAGCCAGCATTTCTTTTGAGGTATGATACAAATTTTGAAAAAATTGTGGTGATTTAACTTTTTCAACTAACCTATTATGATTTTTAAAAGTATATTGCTTGAAAAATCTTGGTGACTGTCATAAAAAATAAGCATGTTTTCAGGTCATTTCTCAAGCCTTCCAGTGGCAGGTGCTGACTAAACTAATGAGCAGCTCTCAAACCTGCACACCCCTGGCTGGGATTATCTGCAGTGCTTACTGCCACTGATCACTGCCTCCACCTCTGGGTTTTTGATTCAGGAGGTCAGGGTTTGGAGCCCAAGAATTTGCATTTAACACACTTTGAGGACCACAATTTTCTCATATGAGGATTAAATTTGACTTCTTCAGGAAAGCCCAGTTCTTGTAGCTTTCTGAGTTTGGCTCATGTGCCTGTTGAGTTGAAACTTGTTTATTTTAAATATCTTTGTATACTCACTGTCTTTCATTTTCTGAAGGTGCCAAAAAGGAGGGAGCTGCTGGATTTTTTAAAGGAATTGGGAAAGGGCTGGTGGGTGCTGTGGCCCGCCCAACTGGAGGGATCGTTGACATGGCCAGCAGTGCCTTCCAGGGCATTCAGAGGTGAGCTCTGCCACTCGTAGTGCTGGCTCAGAAATGGGTTGGATGGTTCACCCACTCTTAAGGATAGTTAGGTCTATGTGGAAGCTATGCCAGCTTGACAAGGTAGAGGGCCACCAGAAAGGAATAAGAAAAGACTCTTTTAATGTTCAATTTCTCTTTTTCAAATATATATATTTATTTATTTTGACATTACTGAAGATCAGACCCAGGGGTATTGTGCAGCTGATCTGTACCCATAGCCCTTTTTTATTTTTTATTTTGAGACAGGGCTAAGTTTCGCAGGCTGGTCCAGTACTTGTGATCCTTCTGCCTCAGCCTCCTGAGTAGTTGAGATTACAAGCTTGTGTGCCATGACCACGATGGTAGGTGCCAAAAAACAAATGTTTATTGGTACCTGCCATATGCCAAGCACTGTGCTGGACACCAAGAAAACAAAGAGTTGGTGACCTACTCTTTACTTTTACTATTTGACATTTTCTTTTAGAAGAGACTAGGAGATTTGGATTCAGATTTGGACTTAATACTTTCTGCTTTATTTGGAGCAGGTTATATACATTATTGTTGGTTTTTATCAGATATTTGTATGTTTAATCAACACGTGTATTTGTATTTATTTTGGAGGATTCTCACATATTACACATTTTCTGCTCCTTGTTTAGGGCAGCAGAATCAGCTGAGGAAGTGTCCAGCCTCCGCCCCCCTCGCCTGATCCAGGAGGATGGCATCATCCGTCCATACGACAGACAGGAGTCGGAGGGCTGTGACTTGTTTGAGGTAAGTTCTGTTCTTCATGGTCATGAGCATAGTTTAATTTTAAGGATTCCTAGAACCAGGATTATAAACTTAATGAAAAAAAATGTTCCTGACTGATGAACTTCACTGAAGGATTATACGTGGTTTGTAGAATAGATTTTGATTGTTTTTTATTTTAGCATAGCATGTTAAATGTAAATAACTGGTGAGCTTTTTTCTGCGCAGGAGCAAAGCTTTTTGGTGCAGAAAAGATATAATGCTAAAAGAAGTCATAGGTTGTATTCATTTAGTTAATAACGTTGTTAGCTTTGGTTTCCTGCTTTGTAGCTAATTACTGGAATTTCATTGCTTCTTTTTCTCCCCACCAAATTAGTTTATTGGCACTACTTTGTAAATCTAGATGTATTCAGGTAAACATAACTGGAGGAGAAGAGAAAAGGTAACATACAGTTAGAGTTTTGTTAACCTCTAAGGTTTGCAGTCTTTTAGTTTTAACTATTATGTTTAAACAGTGTATACATAAGTAAGTTACTGACTTTCCCCCCAAAGACAATTTATTAATATTTTTCTTCCTTGACTTTAAAATAAATAACTTAATCATTTTTTGGCCTTTGGTTTTTATTGTATGTGAGTCCATTTTATCTTTTTGCTTGCGTCTAACTTTATTTTCTTTCTTTTTCTGCCTACACAGCAAGAACTGGAAGTACAAGAGTAAATGTTTCCTATACTACTACTTGATTTCATCCTTAAATTGAAACAAACTGTGCTATTGACTGTGTGTGTCAGATTGAGAGTCAGCTTTAGTGAAATTGTCCTTACAACTCTCATCTCCATCTGAACTTTTGATAATAGAGTTTGACTACAAATGAAAATGATAGTGTATCTGGTAATACGATGTTAGAGATAAGAGATCAGTATAAAAGATGAAAGGTTGAAGGAAACTGCTGATCTCCATTTAGTTGGTGAAAGACAGACTTGAAGCAGATTAATTTTACTGTCATTTTGAAAATTTTACTGTGTTTATATGGATTTCAGGTAAAGTTGAAAAAGGATAGTTTTTGTATTTGGTCTGTTGAATGTATTCTTAGTTTACAAGTCATGATGGTGGAATATTACATAAATTTTTGCTTTACACATTACTAAATTTACCCAAGCTATGGGACAATTAATTGGGGGCATATGTTTTAGTAAGTGAAATGTCAGTTGCTCTGAGTCTGTCTTAAGATTTCAGATGAGAGTTGTCACATGAATTTTGAGACTGTTTCCTTTTCCCCTTTTATCTCATGTTGTATACATTCTCAATCTTGCATTTATGCTTTTTCAAATGTCCAACCTCTTTGTTGTTATGCTTTGTAATTTTTAGGTTTAATTAGTGTAAATAGAAATAGAATATGTAATTAGGTAAAAAATTTTTAATAAATGATGGAAATGTTTAATTTGGGTTAGCAGCATCTTATCTCACAGTTGTATGCTCTGCACAGAATTGAAACCAAAGTCCAAACCTAGATTTCTAATGTGTTGTATATTTGAACACAATGAAACTATTAACATACAACTAATCAGTTGGATTGTATTTTTTTTTAAACTGGTTATCAGAATAATCAGGCTTTTGAATGATTCATATTTAAAACAAGCACTTTACAGAAAACACATGGTGTCCAAAGACCAGAGAGTTCTAGGTACACAGAAGAAGAGAGACTGCTGCTCTTGGGGCTGGAGAAGTAGCTCATGGGTAGAGCACTTGCCTAGCATGTGCCAGGCCCTGGATTAATCCCCCGCCCCAGCACACACAACCTTTGTCCTTAAGGGACCAAGTAGAGCAAAACATATGAAGTTTAAAAGTAGTTGACAAACTTCTTTTGTGGCTAGATAATTGAGAGAAGGCAGAATTTTCACTGCGTATACAATTTTCTGTGAGAATCAAGCACAGTAACTAATTCAAGATGCTATCTTGTCAGAAAGTTACCCTTCCTTAGATGGTTGAATAAAAGTAGGGATTTTTAATTTTCTTGGCTATATCACAATTGTATTGAGACTTAACTTTTGGGAATTTCCGTATTTTAAGATTTTTTTTCTTATTTACTTGTTTTTTTGTTAGTTTAATTCCTTATGTTACTAACCTTTTCCTTGTCATTTTTTAAAACAAATGTATGTCAGTAAGTACAAAACCTCAAGAAACTTTATCTAAATATAGTCATCTTGTCTGATTTATTAATTTTTGTTATCAGACAACCCTTTAAACTATAATGTATTATTATAATTACTAGAAGAAATAGAATATAGATATTGAGAGGACTTGATATTTTTTCCCAAGGGTGGCAAACACAAATACTGAGAAATTTAGGTCATTTCACCCCTTACCGTCTTGCTGTGCTCAGTTATTTGAGTAAGAAGTAGTTATTGATTATTTAAACTATATTAGATATTTTTTTTAAAAACACATTTCCTTAAGGTACCAAATATAATAAAAAGCAAATAGCAAAGAGTACTAGAGTGTAAAATGATGTCGTCTCACATCTTACTGTAATTTATGTGGTGGTCTTTTGATCCCCATTTATTTCCTGTTGAGTATTGCTCTGTGCTCTTTAATACTTAGCTTTAAAATTTTCGTGTGCCATGTTTTCATAACCTATAATCTTCTGCTTCTCCTCTGTTCTAGGATAATTACTGTTTAATGTATGCATATGTGCATAGCCAGTTTTATATTTAATATTTGTTTTGGTTCAGAGTATACAAGATTTAAAATGGTGTTCTTGCCTTTCCTTTTTAATTATATTTTCCATAATCTTAGCAATGCTTCATTAACATTTTAAATTCTTGCATTACCATCTGTTTAGGTAACCTTACATCATGTATTTTATTTTTAATTCATGGTATTAAAATTGTTTTTATTATTTTACTAACAGTAATAATGCTATGATAAACATCAATGTACATTTTGCTTTTTCATATCTTGTGTCATTTGCTTAGAATGAACTAAAAAAAATGAGTCACTGGGTAAAGAACTTTTGCACACTATTGTTAAACTCCTCAAGTTACATCCTGAGAAGGGAGAGTGGAGATTTTATCAACAGCTCTGGTCTCCTCCTGCCATCAGTAGTTATGTCCCTCTGAATCTCAGAGCGTAGTGGATTTTTAGTAATACTGAGAAGGGTTTGCTAAAGCGTGCAAGGGTGATGTTAACACTTTAAAAGCTTTAGATGGTTGAAGCACAATAGTCAATAATTAATGAAATGTATACAAGATAAGTCGATATTATTTCTTGTACTTGCATCTCTGAATATTTTAACATTTGAATTTCAAGCTGAAAATAAATGCATACAATTATTATATTCTTTTCCTATATTCTCTTTGAAGAAATGGAGGCTTAAGTGACCAAAGTATTTAGCCAGTTCACGGGGGAGCTGGGCAGCAGGTGCCCCTTGCGATGGAAGCTGCACTGCTTCCTTTACTAGGCTCATTCCGAGGCTGCGGCCCCAGGTCTGTGCAGGTTTCTCTGCTTTGTTCATGGCCTTTGTAATTTGCAAGGAATGACCGAGGACCAGCATCTTTTAAAAATGTGTATTCAGGCATTAGAGTAATAGCTACAAGTGTGCTTTCTCTGCTTGTGATTATATCGATGATAGTTTCCTTTAATATTGATATTGTATTCTTGGTTATGAAATGTTATGACCTTATTCAGTATGTTTATCTTCTGTATTTTCAAATATGTTATCCTCTCATCTTTATGTATTATAGATATTGCTATTAATGATACCTTATTAGTATTCATTATAAAAAACCATTTTGTTGCTTTTTAATGTGTGTTGACTAATTCAAGTCAATAGTTTTAAGATAGCTGAAAAGGAAAATAGATATTTTAATGTGCTATGATTTATACTTGAATTATTTTATGCTTATTTCTCTTTAGAAATAAATCAAGCCAAATATTTTGAAATCTTAGAAAATCATGTTTATATTAATATTATTGCAATTTCTATCAAATATAATTTTAAATGTGAGTTTAATCTATACAAGCAGATATTCAAAAACAGTAATCATCAGTTATCTTAGAATTTTATCATGTGCCTAATATCCACCTCTATATAAATCATTGGTTTAGTCTTAACTTTTCACCTAGCCCCCTCAAAAAACCTAATGAAAATATGCACTGTCCTCTAAAAAATGTTGCAGAACCATATTTTCAAAGTTTTACATTCTGTTAGGTAGTTCATAGATCCACCCCAAAGTCTTCACTGTGGGCAGCAGTTTGAGAACCACTGAAATGTCAGTGTAGTAGTTTTGTGTTAGCATGTGTTCTTTTTTTCCTTATTTAAAGTGTGATTATTTCTGGTAGATATTTTAAAATATCTACGTTATCACACAACAAAATTGATTTTACCAGAAGATCACTTGGTATGCATTTAATACATAATTTTCTTTTAAGACAATAGTGGAAGTTAATGTATAAATGTGTTATGAAAATTTTTCTAGCTTCATGTGCCAGTATGTAGAATTGTACTTTTAACTTTAATAGATTTGTTCTAAATACTGATTATATATTAGCTCTTATACAAATATTACTTAAATATATATACTTTCCAAATTTTGAGTCTTGTTTCCTTTTCAGAATCATATAAAAAAATTGGAAGGAGAGACTTACCAGTACCACTGTGCTGTTCTTGGAAGCAAGAGTACAGTCTTTATGGTTACAAATAGGTATGAAGTTCAAGTGACATGGTTTTGTTGTTCTGGTTCTCTTTGATTCTGTATGAATTTTAGGATTCTTTTCTGTAGTTGTGTGAGGAATGCTTGCACTCAATCTGTGTGTCAGTTTTGGAAGCATGACCGTTTTGACAGTAATGGGTCTGCCTATCTAGGAACAGGGAATATCTTTGTCTTCTTGGAATTTGACCTAGATTTAAGCAGTCTATGTGGTGGAGACCTACTGCACAAACTGTTTTTGCTTAAAGTTACCTATGCCTTCTAAGAAAATGTAGTCATAGGAATGAAATTCATCATATTGAGGGTCCTAGGGAACATAGAGACAGTGTATTAGAGGATGGGGGCTCTTGGAGACCGTGTCAGAGTTCTGACCACCACAGTGACTCCAGATCTTGGGAGGAAGTAATGAGCTAGACTAGAAGAGTGAGAGAGAGAATAAAAGGTGAAAAGAAGGGCTTTGGTGACTGATAGGAAATGAAAGAGAAGGGACTGCAGCTGTCTTGGTTTGAGATTTGAGTGCCAAAAGCTGTTGGTACTACTTACAGTAATTTGAGGAAAAAGATGATGAGTTTCTTGTTTGTTTGTTTTTTAGTTGAGTTTGACAACTTTATGATTTCAAGGCAGGGATGCCTCAGTAGTCAAGGAGACAGAGATGGATGGATGGACAGACAATAGGAGTTAGAGTAAGAATGCAGAGTTGAGATTCCCCTGTGGGAGTGTGTCGAACAGAAGAGGATTCCTGAGACTGGAACTTTGGTAAAGGTGAAACAGAAGTACGAGAATAAAACAGTTGTAGGAGTGCAGTAGTATATTATTGGGGTGGGCAGGAGAAGAAAAACAAACGTAAACATATTTGGGTTAGTGAACTGTGTTTGGCACTATGCTGTATAACACCCGTCTTTAGCTCTTAGCCCTGCCGTCTGATTCTCCACTGGGTTCCAGGGTGGGGGGTGTTGGAGGTTGTCATAGTCTTTGGAGGACACCACTGGCCCTTCCTAATCTTGGGCTGTAGACACTGAACTTCCTGTAGTGCTCAGCGTAGTCCCAGACCAGCCCCAAATTTCAGTCGCACCTCTGCTGATAAATACAGTACAGTGCCAGCACCCATGCTTGTTCCCCACACTCCATGAATCAGCAGGGCCGTTTGTGGCTACTCCTTGCAGACCTAGAGTCCAGCCCTTTCCTCATCCTCCCGGCAGCACTGCTTTCATTGAGGCTTTCCATGTCTGCTGCGTGGACTGTCGCACGAACTTCCTGGGCCACCTCCCCTCCCTTTGCTGCAAGAGCCCTGACTCTGAAAATAAGAAACTTGTATCATTTCCTGTTGCTTATAGATTAAAGTCAATATTTCTTTAAACAGGAAAAGAAAAAGGGCCCTTCAAGATCTGGCACTGAGCTAATTTTCTCGCCATGGAATATATCTGGTACTCCAGCTGCAGACCTCCATGTTCCTCAAATAAGTCTTCCCTTCTTAGTACCCTATATTTGTCACTGTGCTTTTCCTCTGGACTGTCATTTCCTTCCTTTCATCAATGCTGATGTCACGTGTGCCAGTATGACCTCCCCCTCTCTCCCACACTCCAAGGGTTTTCCAACCCCTCTGTCACCACACTCCTCGGGTGTTGTAGCATTTCCTCGCGTTTATTTTCCCTCCAGACTCAAGTAGAAACCTTATCTTCATTGTTTTTCTCACATCCTCCGTGTTTGTTGGAGTAACAATCCTTCTACTGCACTAATTTGTTTTCTGTAATAGGACCTTAAACATATAGTTATATCAGTAGTTGTCATGAATCTCAGCCTGGGAGGTCAGTGTGGGTGTCTGTTCAACATTCCACTATTTTTTTTTATTGCTGTTGAGTAAAATGAGATACTTCCTCTGTGATAGAGTATATTAGTGTTAAAGTTTCCAGATCTGGTGTTTATTAGCAAACTCAAAATGGATCTTTGCTGACTTTTGAGGTTTGTGACTTTTCCAGTTCGTTCTTTCTTGACTAGCAAACATAAATGACGGACAGTAAAGAGCAATTAATAATTTTCCAAGTGAAATATTTTCACAGGCTTCTGCTTTTATTGCTTCCCAGGTGAGAGTACAACCCACTCTTTATGCGTGTCAAAGATGATTTCCCACTCAGGGTTTTGGTCAGTTAAAAAATAAAAGCTACACTTTTCTGAATTCTGTAAGGTTGTGGAGATGGGAATTTTTGAGCGTCTACTTTGTTAGATAGCAAGTGTCATATTTGCTAATCATGTGTCATGTCTTCATCAGTACCTGTATGTTTTTGTTTTCTTTTGCGAGGTAGGCGAGTACTCTGCCTAAAGGAAGTTGAGATAATGGGCCATATGTTTCTAGACTGGCAGTGTCCATTTGAAGATTTTGTACTTCCTCCTAGTGTGACAGAGAATCTGCTCCAGATTTCAGTTAAGGTAAGCAACTGTGAATTATACATTCATTAAATGGGTGGAAACCAGTACTTTCTGTTTTACAGTTAACTACAAGATATGTTAGAAGGAATAATTATTACTGTTACTCTGTGCAGAGGTGCTGTTAGCCACATTTTCACTACGAATATCCAACAGAAACAATTTAAAAGAGAAAAGGTTTGAGTCCATGGTTGGCTGATTCCAAGGCAGGAACATCGTAGTGGAAGAGCATGGAGGAGGAAAGCTGCTCAACGCATAGTAGCTGGAAAGCAAAGTGAGCAGGGAAGAGCAAGAGAGGGAGGAGAGGGGGACTCACACAAGAATATAGCCTTCTAAGGCGGCCCACTGTCCCACTCCCTCCCCAGGCCCCATTTCCGAGCAGCACCTTCAGCTATGGACTCACCAGTGGGTTAGTCAGGGTTAGTGCTCCATGATCACCTTCCCAAAGCCCCACCTCTGAACACAGGAGCCTTTTTTTTTTTTGGTACCAGGCATGGAACTCTGGACCTTGCACTTTCAAGGCAGGCAGCAGAACCACTGAGCTAAATCCCCGGCCCCACAGGAGCCTTTTGAGGGACACTTTTTATCCAAACCAGAGCAGGTATAAGGAAAGATACACGATTTAAGTTATATGTGCTACTATAGTTTTTGACAGATTACATAGAGTAAAATGCTAGTTTATCAGAAGAATGAGGATACTGATACACTAGTATTGCCTTTTTATGTACAGTTAAACATAAAAGGTTTTTTTTAAACTTCATATGGGTACTTATTTTGAATGTTAGCCATTTTTGGAAATAACCCCCTTTTTAATTTTTTAGGCAATTATTAAATACTTTGATAAAAATAAAGATGTCTAAAATAGCTGTTTTGTAATATTTGGCATTTATAAATATTAGTACAGTTTAAGTATATGACAATACTTTCCTGTCTTCCCTGCCATAATTTTCTAAGAAGGAACTTTTAATTACACAGTAAATAACTAGTAAAAATCATACCTCATATTTTGCTTAGTTCTCAACTCACTTAACTTTGAAGCATCTTATTATATATGTTATAAATGTATTTTCATCCCTCAACAACCCTTCAAATTGTCATTCCAAGTATGAGAGTTTCTGTAGTTATCTTTGTTTTTCCTAAATAATAATGGTGTTATTATTCCCATTACTGAATTTGTGAAAAGCATTCACCAAGAAGTTTAATAAAGATTAAAGTACCATTGTCCTTTGGGTTTACTTTTCTTTTCATGGAAATTTACAAATAGAAAGGACCGCCGTATCACCCTCCCTTTCGTATTTCAGCATTACCTCTTTGCAGGTTCACAGTCTGGAGAATAACTTGGTGTGTGACACAGTTTCCAGGCCAGGACATACTGTGTTGCTGTACATATACTTGGCCATTTCCTCACTTGCCATTGCTCTTTCACATCATTGGTAGGCGTTGATTCAGTGTACTTTATATTATGTGAGAATTTGGTCTGTCAGCCAGGGGAATGAAGCAAGGGCTTTTTGATTTGTCAGATGTGATGAATTATCAAGTGGTGTTTCTGTAGGCTATTTATCATAGCCTGCAGAAAGCCATTATTTTATACACTCATCCAGTTTCATAAATTCTGACAACTTACATATGGAATCACTCTTGGTACTGAGATGATTTATTTTATATCATACTTGAATATGTAGATGCACGTAGTCTAGTGGTTGTGAAACACAGATGACATTTAAGCATCCAGTTAAAGGTGGTGATCTTTTTTCTTCACTTGATCTTAGCCAAGAGGCCGAGAAGCGATGTGATTTTTTTTTTCTTCTCAAGAGTAATGTCTTTTTTGCCATTGTTCTTTTGAAACAGGAGCAAGGTCTGTTCCAGAAAAAAGATGGTGCCAGTCCAGGCTGTCTTCGGAAAATTTACCTGAAAGATACCGCCACAGCACAGGTAAGCTGTTGTAAAGAACCCCTTACTCATTGTGGTGGTACACACATATAATCGCACTGACTCAGGAAGCTGAGACAGGAGGATTGCAAGATTGAGAAGAGCCTGAGTAACTTAGCAAATGCCTGTCTCAAAAATCAAAGAGGGCATTGGAGATAGCTCAGTGGTAGAGCACTTGCCAAGCATGCCCAAGGTCCAGGGTTCAATTCCCAGTGTCTCAAAAAATAAAGAGCGCCCCTTTAGCCTGTTATGACTAACACCCATTATTTCTCCCCAAAGCTCTTGTGGTTACACCTTTGGCTGGGTAGACATGCGTAGAGTAACCGTGGACTCCCTAGAATGCAGAGATTGTATCTGCATTATGTGTGCAGCGGCAGCCTTGTCCTTAAGTACGGGATCTGGGCTGCGAGCTCCAGCGCTTGCTTTTGTTCCTTTCCATTTCACCAGTTGAGCCTGAACTTGTCTTTCCAGTTCATAATGCAGCTTTTATTTTACAGAGAGCCTTTTGTGCCATTGAGAATGCACAGTCAAGGAGACACCAGCAAAAACTGATGAAGCAGTCGTCAGTGAAACGTCTCAGGTCCCAAGTACCGTTGTCATAGTCACCAGTCCCAGAGGGCTGGTAGTGATGAAAAAAACACCCTTCTGTATCCTGCTAAAGAGAAGTTTTCAGGCAGTTGTTTAGGTTTATTATTTTAGAGTAGCTAATATTGGATTCCTTCTCCAAGCTTTTAGTTTTGATAGTTAATTTTGCAATCATGTGTATATTAGTCCACCTGTAGACTGCCACTTGAATGGGTCAGACTCGAAGAAATATCGCTTCAGACTTGGACTGAAATTTTCATTAACACATGAAGCAAAGGGCAGCAGGTTTATTTTTAAAGTCTGCTAAAGAATGAGTTTAGAATGACTAGTGTGCTCTGAAAGGTTTTAGCCAAAGACGTATGCTGGACACTTTGACATTTTGTTTAAAAGTAATTTGTTCAGTAATTGAACTGAGAGAACATTTTTGGTAAACCAGATAATTGACTGAAGAAAAGCCACTAAAAGGAGAACTGACATGTTCGTTCTGTTCTGTTCTTTTCTTTTCTTTCTTCCTTTCTTCCTTCCTTCCTTCCTTCTTTCCTTCCTCCCCCCCCTCTCTGTCTCTCTCTTTCTTTCTTTCTTTCTGTCTTTCTTTGTTTCATGAAAACATGATTTTCTCCTAATAGCACAAATTTTGCTTTGGTGCTTAGTTTTCTTCCTTGCACTAGAAAAAAGAAACGTGGGCAATCACACCTTAAAACAGCTATACTCAATTGTCTGTAATGTAACATAAAATTTTAAAAGTTATTTACATGCTCTTTTAAGATGAGCTCATATGACATGGTTGTAATTTGCTGATAAATGAAGACACTGCACTTTAAGTTTTTTGGGACTCAGAAATATGTAACATGCAATATTTTTGTATTTTTAGAAGTTAAAAGACTTTCAAGGACATCATCAATTAACATTTGATTCTAGTGCATACTTATAAATGTATTTTAAATACTAGGGAAAATGAAAAATCACCAGTTGTTTTATATATAAGTAAAGCACAAGTAGGTGTATATAACAGTACTGGAGAAGAAATGTTACATGTATCCCTTCCTTTTCCTTGAGCAGGTGTTAGGGCATCAATTCAAGACAATATATTTTTATCCTTTCTGCATCTTTCTTCAAAGACACATGACTTTCAAAACTTTTTTAAAAATACTTGCAAGTATTTAATTTGGGAGGACTTTAAGATTTACTCATGGTGTTGAACATAGAATTTATTTCAAATCATTGAATCAGTGGTGAAATGAAGATGTGCAAAAACTTGATTTGGTCTCTTTGTTGATGTGTGGTATTGGGTCTGTTATCATTCATTGTTCATGTTTTTTAAGACCTGGCCATAAAACTAAGAATGTTCCCCGTGTTGCAGAAGAGAGTGCAGTGATTACAGCCCTAGAGGTCTGGTTTGTCATAGTCCTTGCCTTTTCATCATTTGTCTTTAATTTCTGTGAATAAAAGTAATATACATGTATATAAAACTTCTATCTTTAAAAACCAAGTTTCTGTATTAGTGGTTAATGGCAATTTATTAAAACAAGACAGTTTTGTACCAGGTATTCTACTATTTTGTGTTTTTAAAAATGACTTAATCAGGAATTTGAAATAATCTGATTATATTTTCATATGGATCACAACTATTGACAGTGTCCTAAATATTTAGGAAATTATATTGCACTGATAGTGTATTCTATAAGTGGATGTACAGAATATTGAACTAAGAAAAATTATAGAAATCTATAAACTCATTATCTTAGTTGGCTTAGAAATGAACTATCTAATATTTGCAACATTTTTGATGTAATCCTCTGGAGGAGAAGGAATCTGTCAGTAAAGTGTAGTAAGGTCTGTCGTATTTAAAAAAATACTTTCAAAGTCAATTACTTGGATATAAATTCTGAGACAAATAAAACATTTGAAATATTGTTTATAAGTGTGCAAACTTGTGAGTTTGTGTTAAATACTCAAGTAAAAATTTGCTTTTAATTTTTGTCTTTCTCTTTTCCTCTTCCAATTTTGCAGTAGTGAGAAGTTAGATTAATAATTGCCTAACTTTAAAAGATCCTATTCAGGGAAAGCTTTTTTCCAGAGCCCTTTAACATCGAGGGTCTGTGGCACAGACCCCAGTGTAGGGGCTGCAAAGAAGGAGCCTGTGCTACACTGTGAAGTCCATCGCCGCATTTGCATTGAGCTGGTGCCTTCCGTGAGTCCTCAGCACCCATAGGCCTGTTCTGGATGCTCCCTGTTCACTTTGGCTTGCAGACTCCCCAGTGGCTGGGCAGAACCTTTACACTGCATGGGAGTATAGGATACCTCTCTCCAGTCTCCTTTCTCTTTTCCCTTGCTCCCTCCACTCATTCTCTCTTTTCTTCTGTCTTTCCCCCTGGGGCTCAGACTACAAGTCTGCAAGCTCCCCCAGTAGGGGATTATCCAGTGGGAAGAAGAGGCCCACAGCCTCACTCTGTGGAGTCTAGTAGAGCAGGAGAATCCACATCAAGAGAACAGAAAATCAGAAGAGTAAACGTAAGCTTTGTAAGAAAAGTCTCATGTAGCATAAACTTCGTATGTATGTTTCGTTTGTTAGTATTGGCAGCCACGACCGTGCAGCTCTATACACAGTAAGATGAACCGCTCCAGAAAGTGACAGGAATGATAATGTAAGTGTCTTCTAAGTGAGGGGGACAGTATTTTGAGGTGGTTTAAAGCCATTGTATCTTTTACTGTAATAAAATGTTGAAAAATTTAGGCAGTACAGTAACTTTTTGATCATACCTCACCAATCTGTATACCCATGGAATTCTCCATTATTAAATTTGCTTCTGAAAAATCATAGGATATGAGAGAAACCACGAGAAACAATTTTCCTCCCTTTTCAGAGCATGCTGGTATTTCGTTTTATACTTATAGCAAGTTGTTTTGATAATGTGTTCAAAGTAATCAGCACTGACATAGGGGAGACGGAAATGTTGCCACTTGATTCTGCATTGTAAGGATTTGTGATACTCAAGAAAATATGACAGAAGAATGTAATGATTTCTGTCGCTTTTGTATGTAAAGTAAACATCATCTGTTGGAATAAATGATTTTTTTTTTTTGTACCGGGGTCAAACTTGGGTCCTTGTGCTTGCAAGGCAGGCTGCGGTACCACTGAGCTAAATCTCCGGCCCGGAATAAATGATTGATAATGTTGATCTCTAGTGAAAAAAATGATTATGGTAGTAATAAAATAAACCAACATGGTCCTCTAGATTGATAGTATTCACTAAGATAATAATGAACACTGTTCAGAGGATTTACTTCTTTTAGCATTAATTCTTTTCAACTTGAAGAAAGATCAAGTGATTCCCCTGCCGAGATTAACTATAGTGCCTAAAATTTCCTAATTATGGTTTAAATTCCATGATAAATAAATTTCAACACTACATTTCAGATTTTGCTATTTCTGTTATTTTTGTAGAAAACACAAGGTACAAGTTTTTCTCTTAGATAACCCACTTTCCTCTTCTGCCATCTTTTAAGTCTTATTATACTTTATTTTCTTTTTTTTAGTGCCTTTTAAAATATTGTTACCATTATTAAGTAGATATTACTAGTGAATTAGGAAAGAATACCCCAAAGGCCAAATAATGTGTTCTTGTAAATAAAGTTTATTGGAATACAACCACGCCTATTTATTAGTTGTGACTGGTTTCACATTTTTCGGTATTTTCAAACATGGTCCATGACTTTAAGCAAGTGTTCAAAGTTTGCAACTTGAATAGAAGCTAAGCTATAAAGTTTTAGCTTCACCAGAGGATATTGCTGCTAATTAGTTAAGCAAGCAGTTATAGACCGTTTAAATTAAGCAGCCATACTTGAAGAGGGCACATTTCCCCTCCCAGTGGAGTGCTGTAGAATCTTAACCTACTTTGACATTTCTGATCAAATCTTCCCTGCTTCATTCAATTCAGAGTGATTCATGTTTTTAAAAATAGTTTAAAAAAATAGGCAATGAATTAGAGAATTAACATTAGACTTCTTTTTCAATAATGATTTCCTGGTCTCTAGTCAAGTGAGTAATCTATCACTGTGTGATGGTGTTAGGGAGTTTTTGGTTCTGTTTTTTTTCCTTTTGAGGTAAAGGAGTCAACACTCCCAGGAACTTCTGGAGCAGCTGAATTTGAATATATCTGGACTTACTGACAGCAGGAAACAGCTGCTTTTTACTCATGTGAAAGATTCCTATGGTTAAACTTCAGACCTAGAAAATGCTTCTGTAGAAATCTTGTACTTCTGTTGTGTCATTCAGCTTTCATTGCTGCAACAAAATACCAGAAAACAGCATCCTCAAAGAGGATAAGTTTATTTTAGCTCATAGTTTCAGAGGCTCCAGTCCGTGGTTGCTTGGCTATACTTTTCTAGGCTTGCATGGAGGCAAAACATTGTGATGGGAGCATGAGGTAGAGTGAAGTGCTCCCTTCATGGTAGCCACAAAGCAGAGAGGGAAAATAAGGGGTCAGGCTCCTACTACACCCTTGGAGAGCTCGCCCTCTGTGAGCTACAGCTCCAACTGGGCCCCACCTCCTATAGTCTCCATTACCCCCATTAGTGCTACCAGCTAGGGAAGCCTTCAGCGTAGGAGTCTGTGCAGGACTTTGCAGATCCATACCATAACGTATACTATTACCAGAAGGTGAGTAGATTGTACAGCTACGATGGCCGAGCACCCATGACTTAGACTGGTGAATACTTCACATTTTACCTCAAATTAATGCTCAGTTAATACTGAATTACAAGGCAGCTCTTTTTTTTTATTCTTTTATTGGTACATTGTAGGTATACAACACAGTTACATTTCTCATTGGGAATTGTACCTTTACATGAATGCGTCTTGGTTCTTATTTTTTCTCCATTCTGAGCCCTCCCTTCACACCCTCCACCCTTCCCTATTTACAAAGACTTTATTTCCATTTTTTCCATTTCTCATCA